AATAATTTGGAAGAAAAAGGTAAGATCAGTTTAGAAACAATTTTTAATTTTTGTCAGAAGACCTGATAAAACATTGATGCTAACGAAATTGTTCAGCATCATCACAGCTTAAATTTCAAACATTAGTCTACTTTTGAATTTGTGTTTGGTATAATATTTACAATTAATTATATGTCATTATTAAAAACTTTATGTTGGCTTTCCTTTTGAATATTTTCAGTAGGGTTTGGTCACAGGCAATTAAATTCTGATATTAAGTGGCAGTCTACAACTAGTAAACAAAAACAGTGTTGTGTTTATTCTTTGGGCAGTTTTTAAGCATACAGAAAAAATAACAGTATAATAATCATGTACTAATCACCTAAAATTAACTAATGTAGTATTGACTCATGTATTTCTAATTTGTTTTCTCATGAAAAACAAGTAAATGTCTAGAAATATAGTTAAGATCTCTTTAAATCTTTTAAGTTCTCTGACTAATTTGCTGATGCCACCAATTTATGCATTTATGTGGAACATAGTTTTCTGTGCTTTAAAAATTCACATAAATTGTATGGTAAATGCACAATTTTTAATTATGAATATTTGAAATACCTATTAACATTGAACACACACATGGATCATTGTCTACCACTTTGACTTGTAGGTATAAGTTAGAAAAGGTCCTTAGAACTTGAATATAAGCTGGCATACTTATTAAGATGCTTACATCAGCATTGCCTTTAAGACAGTAGACACCTAGAATGGAAAACTAGACATGGATACCTACTAATAGGTGAATGGAAAGTAAACTACCATATATTAAAGAAAATACAGTGTTACTTATTCAAGTATATCTTTATGAGCGCATAGTGAATACATAGTGCTTATCTACTGAGTTATTAGTACTTCACATATGTGTATTCATAAAAGAGCAGTAACAGTAGATGGAGCTAACCATCTGACAACATATAAATTATCCTTAGGATCCAGAAAGTGCTCTGCCTCAGTTTCTGATCTTCCCAGTCTGTCCTCCTTACCAACTGTTCTTACTACATTTCTCTTTTCCAGTTCAGACAATCCTAGGAATGACAGTTTTCTCCAGTTCTTAAATCTACAGACTTTATGCTTGAAAAAGAAGTAGTATCAAATTGTTTTAATATAAATGGTAACTCTAAGAGAATGTGATATTTTCTGTGGATTTCTAAAATGTATCTAAAAATTTAATGCATATTAGAATATCTATTCATATACTTATTTATGAGCTTGTGTTTACTATTTAAATGGTCGTAGACTGGAATTTTTCAGTGTGATGTGACAAAAAATATATTGGGGAATATTTTCATTTTTACTAGCTAGACTATAATATATTACCTTGTCAAATCCGTTTAGAATCAGACTTTAATATATGTAATACAGTCTTCTTAGTTATGGAGAGGGACTAAAAAAGTGTTATCACTTTTAAACTTCCACAGAGAAAAAAGTCAGGAACTAATAACCTGATACGAGCAGGTCTCTGAAAGAATAGGATAAGATGTAGAAATAAGTGGCTCGTCCAGCTTAAAATAGGTATAATTTTACTTTTCCTATATGATGGTACTTGAAAAATGAAAAGAAAGCTTTATTGCCCCAACTAGAACGGCACTACTTATTACACTATATATGAAGAGGGAGAGGTTTTTTTACTTTGAAGAAGTAATGAATTTAATTAAACACATTAAAAGTCTTAACAGAATTTAAAAAGTATACAAACTTAATGATTTGTTCTTAAACTTTGGCTAACAATTAGAGTTAGGGGAAAATGTACCCCCTCCTCTGCTGTTTAAGTTGTATATATTAAAACCTAATTTGAAAAGGGGTCAGGCAGTGGTCACATCTTGAAGAAAATGCTCTAAAATTTTTTAAAATAGTAAAACTTCAATTTATAATTAACAGAAATGAGATAGTGAAACAGAAAAAACTATTATTTATTCATTAATTTTAATGAATATTAATTTAGTTTTCTTAAAGAATTATTTCTTGGGACTGAAGAGATGGCTCAGCAACTAAAACACTTGCTGCTCTTGCACCAGACTCAGATTCCATATTCAGTACCCACATGGTGACTCACAACCATTTGTAACTCCTGTAGCAGGCGTCTGATGACCTCTTCTGACCTCCATGGCAGGCATGTTGTGTGCAGACATACATCTAAGCATAATATCTGTAACTCTAAAATTAGATTTAAAACATAATTTTTACTCACAGGAAGAAACCCTAAGTCAGTAAGTGTACAGTGGTGTGTTGCAAGATGCTGCTGACGTGGGGAAAGGAGCCTCGTGTTTGCAGAGATCTGTGCCTTGAGAATAGCTCTGCAAAAGTTGAGCAGTTGAAAAGAATATCCTAGACAGAAGGAATGTTCTTTTGCAGTTTGAGAAATAACTGTATCCTGTAGCATTTTTGAAGAACTAAGTACAACTGGTTAGGTGCATGGGAAATATAAGATTTTAGTGAAAACTACACATAAAATGAGGCTGAATGGGTAGACTTGTCAAGGTACTTGGAATAATCATGTTTATGTAGTAGGAACTTTATCTCTCTCCTTTACTCTTCCGATCTAAGTATTCTAACTTGTAACTCAACACTAAGGTTTTTCCAGTTTTTCAGTTTTGTTTATTTAGCAAATATTTTCCAATCACTTCGCCAGCCACTCTTCTAGAGAGAGTGATGTATTACTGAATAAAATAGATGTGCTAGCTGTGTAACCATAGCAACTAGAAAATGGCCTGCTAAATGCTGAACAGTGCATATAACAGTGCTGTAATGGAAGCCTAGAATGATGACAAACCACCAAGTCCAAATTATGCCCGAAGTGACTGATTCATAAGATTTGAGAAGGATCAGTATGATTATGAGGGGAGAAGAATAGGACTCCTATAAGAAAAGGACTAAAGTGTGGAACCTTAGAGATGAAAAACAGCATGGAGCTGTCCAGGTAGATTTCCCTTTTCCACAGGCGTTGTAGTCTACTCTACAAGCACTGATGCTTTATAAAGATGAAGTCCTGTCAGTCTGCTGGAATCCTCCAGGACTGTCTCCTGCACAGTAATACTCAGCACTGAAGCCATGCCCATGTGGTCCTGTATGTCTTCTCCCTACATCTCTTTCCTCCGTTTTAGCCTGCTTACTCTTTTCCGGCCATCCTAGTCCCTGTGGTTCCTCTAAAGCCTCAATTAATCTTATAAGGCTGTCCTTCTCTACAAACCATTTCATTTAGAGCCTTTTCCAATACATTTGCTTAGTTGGTAATCCTCAACTTGTTCAAGATCCTATTAGATAACAGTTCAACACCAGTAATGTAAAACTGCCTCCTATGCTAGGTGTCTTAGCTAAAGTTTTATTGCTGTGAAGAGATGTCATGACCAAGGCATGACTCTTAAAAGGGAAAATACTTAGTTGGAGGCTAGCTTACAGTTTCAGAGGTTCAGCCCATTATCATCATGGCAGGAAGCCTGGCAGCATCCAAGCAGACATGGTGCTGGAGAAGGAGCTGAGAGTTCTACATCTTAATCCAAAGGCAGCCAGGAAGACACTCTTCTGTAGGTGGTTAAGAGGAGGCTTTCTTCTGCATTGGGTGGAGCTTGAGTTCTAGGAGCCCTGGAAACCAGCCTGCACAGTGACACGCGCAAAGCCACAGCTATTCCAACAAGGCTACACCTCCTAATAGTGCCACTTTAAATGGGCCAAACATTTTCAAACTACCACAGCTAGTTGTGTTTGTCCACACGTGTAATCTTAGCACTCAGAAGGCTAAGACAGGAGATTACAAGTTAGAGGTCAGTCTGATTTGTCAGTAAGTTCTAACCTAGCTTTTTCTAGGTAGTAAGTCTTTACCTTTAAACACAATTAATAATAAAGATGTGTAAGTATGTGGGCACATGTGCTTAATAGATTAACCCTCAGCCTGACCTCCACTATCACTTGCTCTGCAGTGTCTTCCTGAGCAGTACTCTCATCACTGGCAGTTAGCACTGTGTGTATTGAAGTGTCTCTATTTGACACCAAGCGCCATAAGAATGGGCATTTTGCGTGGGGTTGTTTTTTTGGGGGGGGATACTTGTTTTTTGTGCTGCCATTGTATCACATTCATTTGTACATAATAAGCACATATTGCATTGAAAAGAGGTACTGAATATGGTGTTACATTCATTCATCTTTACGTCTCCCCAGACACTTAATCGTTTACATGGATTAGTTTCATTACTGTGAAAGCTAGTAAAGTGTCTTTAGCCTTCTTAGGTTTTTAGTTTTAAGCAGGTATTCTTTTTCCTCCATGATTCCTTTCCAAAGGCTTACCTTTTCAGTTTTTGAGCAAATAGATGTTTATTCCTGTTATTATTTATTGTTGGATTTTAAGTTATAGTGCATTCTGTGCTGGCCTTAACCTGTTAACAGTCTCTGAATCATTTAAGTTTTTTAATTGTGAAAATCCAATATTATATCTGTGGTAACTACATTTTAATAAAAAATACTGAAAAGTATGTTTTATAGCAGTTGTCTTTCCTAGTTCTGTTTTGTTGTATGTAGTATCTTTATCTAGTCTTAGATATAAACATAGGTGCAGATTCAACAGTTGTGTGTTCCAGCAGTTTAAAATAGTAGATAAGTAGGTATTCAGTTCTTATGCATAACACATTCTATTCTTTCTTTTATAACTTGGATTGCTTCAGATTTCCCCAAGGCCCAGCCTTGAGAGAAGCCAATCATGGATGAACTGTCAGATTGATTTAACATTGCACAGTGGTGGGAAAGTGACCAAAAGTTGATCTTAAACAAATCACAGATTTGGGCTTATTCCTATCCCACCTGGCAGTACCAGCTCTCCTGTGCTTTATCCTAAGGCAGTGCCTTCCCAATCATTTCCTAAAATCAGATTGAATAAATGTTGAATTATATTATTCATATATCAGCAAAACAGGACAGAAATGTAAGGACTAGTGTTGTGTTCAAATATAAAGTGTTTTCTCTTGCAATAATTATAGGGGATGGAGTGTTAGATCTCTCTACAAAGAAAACCAGCATAAAATCTGAAGAGTCATCCATATGTGATCCTTCTTCTGAAAATGCAGTGGCTGGGTAAGCACTATCAAGGAAATATAATTAAAATATTAATATAAATGACCTCTGCAGAGAACACTTAATTCTGTGCTGAGTAGGACTGACATAGCTTTCTCAGAATTTTCGTCACTCATAAGTTTGTCTCTCTCATACCTTCTTCATTTGTCCCTTCTCTTTCTTTTTTCTTTCTGTTAAAGAAAAGTTATCAGAACAATCACCAAACTTCAATTCATGTTACTAAAATGAATTATCAATTTAATCATGGGATTAAAAACTAAGAAGCAGGACAAGTAAGAGAACTTGAAATTCTTGAGGCAATTTTAAGGAAAATATGTCATTTTAATAGTTTTTAAAAATGATGAACCATCTCTAAAACTGCTGTAGTTACTAATTCTAAAACTAGCATATAGCTTTACAGTTTCTGCTTTAGTGTGGTGGTAAACAACTTAACATTTATCTAGTATCACCACAAAAATGTCCTTTCATGTCTTTAAAACTGTCACTAAATTAACTTAATAAATAATTACTAGTGAAATGCTGTTCTGTTGGATTTTTGTAACTTTTGCATCTTCTCATTAGCTGCATAGAAATCTTTTTTTTTTTTTGTCCCATTTAAATCTGAGATGAATTTATTTCAACTAAGCCTGTAATAGAGCTGGAATCACAGGTGTAACAAACTTACAAGATTACAAAGTTGCATTTGAAATATAGTAGCATTCTAAAATGAAATTGTTCATATACATCTTTTTTCAGATTTTAAGTTTTTATGTAGAGGACAAATGAGTCTGTGGAACTGAGATGTCTGTGTTTGGAAGTATTCTTGCTGCTACAAATTTCCTTTAAATGGGTTGACTCTTTTATTACTTGTTTAGTGGTAACGTCACGTTTCTACTAACAAAAACTCCTTTAGGATTTGGGTATTTTTATAATGGAACTCTAATTGTAAATAAAAATTATAAGTGTTGCTCTGCAAGCAGCTTTCAGAGGAAAAGCAACATCATGAGAATATTTTTACAAATACTCAGAGTTAGGATTTTATGTTCTTGGAAGGTCTGCCCATTGAGGCCACCGTATCATTGACACATTGTCCTACCAGGACTGTAGCGTTTGCTTTGATAAGGAGTAACTACTACATCTCACAAACCTAAAGTGCAATGAGCAGTGATGTTACCTAAGCAAGGAGTATAATAAAGGAGTGGACCCTCCCCTTCATAGCTGTGTGAGAGTCTCTCATACATCAGTTTACCATCGTTTCATTCCATCCATCCAGGAGACTACACAGAAACAGAGAGGACTATGTGGAAAGAAGTGCTGAGTTTGCAGATGGTTTGCTCTCAAAAGCTTTGAAAGACATTCAGTCTGGAGCACTGGACATAAATAAAGCAGGCATACTTTATGGCATACCTCAAAAAACTTTACTTCTCCACTTAGAAGCCTTACCAGCAGGGAAGCCTGCATCTTTTAAAAACAAAACTCGAGATTTCAATGATAGTTTCTCATATAAAGAAAGTAAAGAAACTTGTGCTGTGCTGCAAAAAGTAGCCTTGTGGGCAAGAGCTCAAACAGAGCGCACAGAAAAAAGTAAACTCAGCCTACTTGAAACCTCAGAATTAAAATTCCCAACAGCTTCCAGTTACCTCCATCAGTTAACTCTACAGAAAATGGTTACTCAGTTTAAAGAAAAAAACGAAAGCCTTCAGTATGAAACTTCAAATCCTACTGTACAGTTAAAAATTCCTCAGCTACGAGTAAATTCAGTTTCAAAATCACAACCTGATGGTTCTGGCCTGCTGGATGTCATGTATCAAGTTTCCAAAACTTCTTCAGTCCTTGAAGGATCAGCTCTCCAAAAACTGAAAAATATACTCCCTAAACAGAACAAAATAGAATGTTCTGGGCCTGTAACTCACTCAAGTGTTGACTCTTACTTTCTACATGGGGACCTCTCTCCTTTGTGTCTTAATTCTAAAAATGGAACAGTTGATGGAACCTCTGAGAACACTGAAGATGGACTGGACCGGAAAGATAATAAGCAGCCCAGGAAAAAACGTGGCCGCTATCGACAGTATGATCATGAAATAATGGAAGAGGCCATTGCAATGGTAATGAGTGGAAAAATGAGTGTTTCCAAAGCACAAGGAATCTATGGGGTACCTCACAGCACTTTAGAATACAAGGTAAAGGAAAGATCTGGAACACTGAAGACTCCTCCGAAGAAGAAACTACGATTACCAGACACTGGGTTATATATGACAGATTCAGGGACTGGCAGCTGCAGAAACAGCAGCAAGCCTGTGTAGATTACTGTTAGAGAACATGTGTATGTGTGCGCGTGTGCGTGTGTGCACATGTGTGTATGTGTGCGTGCTCGTGTGTGCGTGCGTGTGTTTGTGCGTGCGCGCGCGCGCGCGTGTGTGTGTGTGTGTGTGTGTGTGCGTGAGCAGGTGTGTATGTGTACAGGGGTGTGTGAGTCTTTGTGTATGTATGTATCTACATACACACGTGGAAATTACAAATGCTCACTCTGACAGGAGACATGAAATTTTACAGTTCAAAAACCACTTACATGCCTTTTGAAAAAGTTTTATTCAGGGTTTTCACTGTGGACAGAATTATAGAGTTGTTTATTAATTCTGATAGTTTGTATTTAATCCTTGTATAAATAGGTGAAAAAAGATTCAGGTTTTCTTTAGTAGTCAATAGCATAAAATGTGGGAAAACAAGTAATTGTCAAGTGAAACATTTTTTTTATTGGTAAAAAGATTCTAGCCATTCAGTTGAACCATCTTATAATGGAAATATATTAATAGTTTGTGAACACTTTTATGTAACATACCTACAATGATTGTGAGTATGTCAAAGAACCAATCAAAGTTAAATAGTTACCTCTGTACCAAGAGTAACTAATAGATACAGTATTAATACACTACAGTGCATTCTATGAAATACAGAATGCACTAAAGTGCATCCACCAGGATAGAAGAGAAAACCTTAAAGGATATGTATAGTAAAATTTAATATTTATCATTTAATTGTTGAGTTAGCAGGAAGTTGGGGTTATTAAGTATATAATTTAAATTTTAAAAAAGCTGACATAGTTAACCCCAGAAGCTATAGAATCCTTTAATATAAGATGGAATACTAAAAACAAAAAGTAATTTAAATTTAATTATTAAAGTAATTTAATTTTGTTTTTCATTTGAAAAATAAGCTAATGTGTAAGGTTAGAAAAGAAAGTTGGAATGCAACTTAGAGCATGTTTATAATGTGCACAGAAGAAGCTTGAGAATGGTCATTTTGGTTAAATGTGCTGGTTAGTTGGTGTTATGACTACTTTAAGGATTGTGAGACACTCCTACTGAAAAACCTCAGTGTAACTTTAATATATTTGCTGCTGTGACATTTCAAAACATTTTCAGTTTATCAAGATAAATTACAGATTTCCTTTTGGTGGGTGATACATTATCATTTTGCTAATAACCAAACTTGCAGTTTGTTCAGGGTCTTGAATAGATTTACAGATATTTAACACTGACGCTGTTTTGAACTTTCAGTAATGTAAACTCTTTACTACTTGGATATTTAGAAGCTGGGCAGTGCATTTTAACTTTTACTAGACTCATATGAAACCAGTAATTTTTATAAGACAGTTTTAAAAATATGGGTCAGAGTATTCATGTGGGTTTATGAAGTATGCAGTTTTGGTAGTAAAGTGTAATAAAGCATGTACCTCCATGTAAAGAAAGGAGATTTGCTTTATAGATGAGAATCCTCCCCTATACCCCTTTTCTCTATTAGAATTCAGGTTCTGGTCATGTTCCTAAGCCACTTTTTACAAATCCAAAAGGAATTCTTACAGCTGAATTTAACTATAAGTGCACCTTGTCAGATACTTGTGTTGCTGCACTTGTGTTTGTGTGTGTTTTATAATCACATGAACGTGACTCTTCAGCTACTAAACTTTAAAACTGCTTGCATGTATTTAAAGAAACTGAAGAATGAGAAAATGTATGACCAGGTAACCTCTTGGTCTCTAAGATCTGTACTGAACACTTTCAGCTGTTAACATTACCTGCATACTAGGGTATGAATCCTCTTGATCTTTTTCTTCCCCCAAGAAAATATACTTAATAGATTACAAGACAGCATTTGTCAGGGTCATCTTTCTTTTTAAAGAATTAAGCCATATTTTGTGAGGACCGGAACATGGATTATTTATTATACTTCCCCCTCCTCCCATTAAAAAACAAAGTTAAAAAGTAAATGCTTCAAAAACAATTTTCTTGACCTCTTTATACAGAATTTTACTTGCAAAACTTTGGGAGCTCGAATGCATTACATAATATTTATATTGTATTGAGCTTTTTTATTCCTCACTATATTTACATTGATAAATTGATTGAGAAGTTTATAGTAAAGGGAAACTTACAGAACACTTTTATATCATTTAAAAGATGACCTGACCAAAAACTTTACAGGATTCATAAATCAGGGATCATTTTGCTATTGACTTCACAGTGATCAGTAGTTTTATAGGTAATATTATAGTTAATTTGCAGCATTTTAGTACTTATTATTTATTTTTGGTCAAATAGTAAATTAAAATATTTTTTGATAGTTTATAGGTAATGATCAACCCATAACTTTTAAAAGAAACATAATGTTTGTATTACTGAGTTGACTTTTTAATTATACAAACTAGGAAAGGCAGGGAAGTTTATGGGTTCCCCTCCCCCCACTGGTTCTATTATAATGTGCTTTATGTTAAACTTTCAAAATCCTTTAAAAATTTAGTTACCAGTTACTACTTAATTGACAGTTTCTGAAAAAATCCAGTTTCAGCTGACTTTTAATGAATAGGAAAGCAACCCTTATGTGCTTTCTACTTATTTGAATGTTCTTCAAGTATTTTATATTTAAAATAAAAAAAGAAGGAAAAGAAAAAAACAGTGCCTCTGTTTTTAGAAAACTACTGCTCAGTAAAGTTGTTTAAACCATTCTGGTAGCTGATGACAATTTTATATTAAACTGTATACTGACTTTTAGTGAAACTGATTTCTTTTTTAGTTGTTTACAGTGCAGATACTTGTGGGTTTTTTTTTTTTAATTGCAGTATTTCCATTGTCGCAGTAATTTAGTAAAACTCTGTGGCTGCCTTGATTTTGACAGATTTTGTTAATATAAACTGATTGTTAGGCAATTAGTTATATTTATGCATAAATCAATTGCACTATAATTCATGAATTATTTATTACAATATTTTCTAATGAATTCATGTATCTGTCTTGTGTTGTACATGTACTGTAATTTTGTTCCTACTTTTGTGTTGTTATATATCTAAATCTGATTGTATGAATTTTAATTGTTCAGTTAACGTGTTTCTAGGTTGTAATTTGTAGTAAAGCACTTCAATGCTTTTGCACTTAAATTTACAACACTGTCAGTGTGTGGTTAATTTACTCATTCAGTAAAAGAAAAGTAAAGTAAAACTTGACTATACTGAATTATTTGATTCCTTGTAAGTTTTTTTTTGTTGTTTTGTTTTGTTTTAAATAGTATTAGAATTTGACTTTTCCAAAGAAATATTCAACAAATTTCTAACAAAAAGGGGGCATAGAAACAAAAAAATGAGATGTTTGGGCTTACAAATAAACAGGAAGAATTAGAATTTATCTAAAGAAAAAACATGAGAACCAATTAGACTAAGGTGGCCTTTAATCTCAGCATTTAGGAGGTAGAGGCAGGTGGATCTCTGTGAGTTCTAGACCAGCTTCATCTACAAAGTGAAATCCAGGCCACCCAAAGCTACATTGTGAGACTCTCTCAAAATGATAGTTTTCGCATCTCTATATCATGACTTAAGAACAAACTGTGAATGGAGATTCACACATATGTCTGTTCACTCATTAGGTTTTCCTTTGAGATTCTAAGATGGAAGAAATGAGGGGGGAAAACCTTGAAACAAAATAAGTATATTTTAAAATTTTGTTTTTAATTAATTTAGTTGTCCTCCATGCTATATAAAGTAAAATCTAATACCTGAATATCTGATATATTAATCTATTGTTCATATTATTGGGTTACTATCAGCAACTACTGGTATTTTTTAATTTCCAATATTAAAACTAGCAAACTGAATAAGAAAACTCTTCCTTTAAAACAAAGGTGTCCTTAAAATGTCAGAAAAGGTAGATAAAAGTCAGTGGTTTTCATAATTTTATGAGATTAATCAAAGTGAAATAACATGTTTATATTCCTAAACGCATGCTGCTTTTTATCATTTTGATAGGGTTTACTCATTTCTATATTGAGACTTACACTCTTGGCTTTGGACATGCTAATAAGCACACTCTCCCAGTTGTACAAATCATTTCATTAACGAAAAATGCCTCTGAGCATTTTAGGAATTACTAAGACAGGATACGAATCGTTGAAATACAGTATAACGTTCTAAAACCTTGTAAGCTCTCCCCTTTATTACTAGTTATAAATATGCTTAGCAGGCCATCACATTACTTCAGAAACTGTCTGAAGTATACCCTTCAGGGTATGTTGGCTTTTGTTTATTGGAAGTCAGAAATTTGAGTTGCTGGAAAATGATATAATTATCTAATATTTGGTAGCTATCATTTGATATTGCCTTTAGCCTACAGTTTTAAAATAACTTTTGACATTGAATCTTGAGTTATTTATATCATTTTACACTCTACCATTACAAAATTAATTTTAAAATATATTTATTGAAGAAACTGATACTGGGATCTTTTGTCTAGTGATAGCACTGAACTTAAAGAGTTTTGTTTATTTTGGTTTATTTTTGCTTTGTGTGATCCTTTATGTCAAATTGTGTGTTAGTCTTACTAAACATTTGTTAAATCTGATAGTTATTTTTCTCTGTGAAGTTTTGATTACATGCTCAGAACCTGCTTTGGTATTTTTATTACTCTGACAACATAATTATATACAACTCAATAAATTATTATATAGTATCCATAGATTCCAGTGCCAGGGAGCAATATAAATATACTGATTTCGCTGCTTATTTTAAAAGAAAATCCTTTAATTTTTAATACGGTGAACATACTAACCCTTATTTTTAAAAAGTATATTCTTATTCTTCTCTTGCATCAGTTTTGTAAGAAATATATCCCAATTCCAACCCTAAATAACATTTTTGCCAACTAGACAAACGACAAATGACAGGCACATAGAATTAGGAGAGGAGGGCTATTCCCACTACAGAGTTTGGTGATGTTTCATTAAAATGGATACTTTTCTGAAACAGAATTCCTTTAATATATTTTATTCTTCTTGCTACTGGTATTGAATTAAAAAATATGAGCTTCTATATTGTTGATTAGCAAACATGGGTCTAAGTTAAAACTAGATGTGTATTAGTTTCTATGTTGGGGCATTTTCCAGCACTTGACATTTAGTATTTAGGTAAGTAATACCTATAGTTTTCCTATGGTTTTCCATGGTTTTTAAAACCAGTTAAAAGTAGATTTAATTTTTAAATAGCTTCCTTTTTCTTTATATTCTTACTAGGTTAAAATGCCTTCAGCTTAATCTCAGAAAAAGATACTCTCTTATTTTATATGGAACCTAAATTAGTTAACTTTCTTCATGATTATGCATACTTTTCTTTTAATAATAAATTTTCTTTTAACTATATTGCAAAGTATTTTAAATAAAATAAGATGTCACTCCTTATATTCCTTACTTGAACTAACAAGGACTGATCATATAAAATATGGCAAACTGGCCTACTTTACAAAAACTTCTATTCCTTTGGAAGCATTTTTTATTGAAGGTTATTAATATTTCCAGAATTGTAAATATTGCCAGTGTGTTGATGTAATAATACATATCCACTTTTGTTTGTGAAAGGCTTTGCTTTGACTCCTGTACTTTGCCATAGGAAATTATTTATTCCAGTACTTCATTCTGTTTCTGCTAAAAGATAACCAAGATGTCCTTGCAGTTCCGCCTATACGAGTCAGGAGTCCAGCAATATCAAAATACATCATTCAGACGCTGTCAAGAATTATAACTCCTTATGGTATTTTTGCTGTAATTCATTTTTTTTGTTTGATTTTTATTTTTAGTTCAACTGTTGATGCAAAATCAGAGGAAGCTACTAAAATGGAAAAAGGAAAATCAGCATTAAGCAAAGTTTTGGAATCTTTGTGCATACATCACCATCAACAAGTTTTGGCTATGTTGAAATTTCTAGTCCAAGAGCAGAATGCTGCTTCTCTTTGCTGTTGTAATTCATCATGTGCTATGTCTTCAGAATCTCAAAAGCCCCTATTGGAGGATGGTTTTCATGGTCTGTTCTGTAGCTGTGAATATAGACTGGCAGAAAGAGGGTGTTTACACAATGAGAGACAAAGCCCTGGTCTAGTGCCTCTGCCAGTCTGTATTAAAGAATTACATTGTTTGTCTTGTCAAACTGTAACTGTTGAACACATTAAGACAGTAATGAATAGCGGAATTGAAAACAGTTCTAATCCACACAGGTGCTGTTGTGGACAGTTAGCAAAGACTCACTGTACAAAATCAGCCTGTCACAGTCCTCCTTTGTCAAGGGAAGTTTGTGATCTTTCAGTCACTCATCAAGATGCCTGTAGATCTCGAAGTCCCTCGCCCCCACCATTATCACCTGTGGAGACTGAAGAATTTGAAAAATGGAAAGATATCGTCTCAGAACTTTCAGCCTTAGAAAATAACAAACTTGAGGCAAGCATTAACCAACCTCCATCTCTTACACCAGCAGAGATAAGCATTCACAAATGTGTCCATGACAGCAAAATACACAAAACTAAGAAGTCTGATAACTCTGATTCTGTGCTCTTGGGTGCCAATGATAGTTACACTACAAATCATGAAAAGGGTGAAACAGCTGTAATTTTTCAAGATTTAATGGACCGTATTAATGAAAAATTAAAATCAATAGAAACCACAGATATATCAAACCTCATAAAATTATCCAGTACTGATTGTGATTCAGACAATGATTTTAAATTGGGAGATTTAATAACATCTCTCTTGCATAGTGCAACAGGCAATGATTATAGTTTTATGGAATTGCTGAGTCAACATGATAAAAAGGTAGAAAATAAAATTATTCAGACAAGGTTTCGAAAACGGCAACAAACATTACTTGCAATGCATAACTCTCCTGATTCACCTGTGATCAGAAGGCAATCTTTACAGATAAAAAGAGAACTTGCCAGTTTTGATGAAAACTTTCTGAGGAAAAGGTACAGTGAAAAAAATTCAAGAAAAATTTCATGCAATGATAAGATGCTTTCAGTGAACAAAGAAGAACCCCAGCCTTGTCAAGAGCCTTTAAAAAATTCTAAAAGCTTTCAAAATGAAAATCATGCAGAAACATTGTTTACACCAAATGACATAGCACCATCGTGTCAGGTACCTCTTGGGAATTTAGAAACTAACTTGGCTCTTGATCAATTTTCAGAAAATTTAAAAGCAACTTCATTTGAGAAAATGAACCAAAGAAAATTACAGGAGAGGTCTACAGCTGAGAAACTAGCTGGACAAAATAATAGGGAAAATACAAAACTAGAAAATACTCCATTTTTGAGAACTGATGCTCCTCTTTTGAGCAGAACTAAACGAAATATTGTGCCTCCAGGCTGGTATTCTATATATGTAACAAACGACTCTGTTGCTAAAAAACTCCTCGAGGGCAAAAGAGTATCAGACTCTGTACACAGAAAAGATCCAATCAGAGATCCAACTGAAAGTTTTCAAAATATAGACTTAAATAAAATTGCAATTAATTCTAATTTGCAAGTTATTGTCGAGCGTTTAGAAGACACAATAAATATGGCTCAAAGGTCTTGGACTAGTCAAGAACTATCTGAAGGATGTAAAGCATCCAAGAAATTGATAGAAACAGATGATAAAGATCAAAATGCTGGGAGAGATTTGACTTTAAGTAGAATGGCTTGTAAAAATCAGGGTTTATCAAAATCTGTATTAGCATCTATCAATAAAAGAAGTCATGGTATGTCTGTAATGGATTTGAACAAGACACTTGATAAACCCAAGACTTCACCCATTTTAGAGAGAGGTAGCTTGACATCCAGTGTTGAGAGTTTGCCAACAAAATGTGAAGGTATTGAAAGTTCTGTTTCTAACTACTGTAGTCCTATCAAACTCATGTTTTTATCTGAGATTAAAAGTAGTGAAGGAGTCAAATACACTTTAACATCAGTCAGCACATCACAGTCAAATGCCGATTTTGATTCTCACAAACATAAAACCCATCAGATGACTGGAAGAAAAAGAGAAGCAAATGAAGACATACCAAATACAAGCTTTGAAGATTATAGTTCTAATCATCATGATACTAACCTTCAAAGTGAATTGAACCAACTTAACTGTGTACATGAGGCTGCACCGTCATCTGCAGAGTTTACCGACAGTTTAAACAATGATAAGCCACAAGAAGACTCTAAGGAAAAGTCAAATGGTGCTGTTGACTTACCATATAAAAGAAAGCCAGGTAGACCTAAAAAAATTGGTCCCCAAGTTGTGAAGCAGATTAAACGGCCAATTGGAAGACCACCAAAACCTAAAGCTGGTCAAACAGATGTCAGTGTTTGCCAAAACAAATCTTTTAGCCCTAGAAAGGAAAATCCAGAGTCTTTCATATCAGAAGTCAAAGATGTTTGCAGAAAGAGTATTATTGTCACTGTTGTTTATGGAAGATCAAGAAGAACCAAGAGATGTGTTTCTGAAGGAAGCATGAGCATCAGCAGTATCTCATTGAACAGTGATGTCACTGACACTTCAGTTAACTCTAGTCTCAGAAATACTAAAGCTTATGAGATTGGCCATGGTGAAAGTCTGAGTGCTGGGACAAGACTCACAACTGAACGTGGGGTTTTTGATTCTGACTTGGAATATGTTAGACCTATCAAGAGCAAGTCTGTGATACCTCAGACTTCCAAGAACATTATTCGACCAAACCAAAAGCCTTTGTCAATTGTTAGGAAGCCTGGTAGACCTGCAAAAGTGAAAATTTCTGGTATATCTGTGACTGTTAATAGAATTTCACCTCAGGAAAGAGAAGTATGCGTTAGCAGCTGCTTACCTCCTTTAGATCAGGAGATAATGTTAGAGAAAACTTGCCTAGAAGAAAAACTTGACCAACAGTGCAGTAGTGTGGATAACATCAAGCACACCAATGTTGACATTTTTAAAAATGAATCAAATAGTGCTGTTGCTTCTGTACCTCCGAAACATTCTATTAGGGCTAGAAAACCTTCTTTGCATTTCTTACATTCATTTGCATCTTCTGGCTCACTTACTTACAAAAATGCTCTCCGTCATAAATCATGTAAACTCCATTTGCGTAAATGCAAAAATCCAAAGAAAAAATACAGGCAGTCAAGTTTTAGACTAGCTTCCAAAGGTATCCCAGGATCTAGATGTTCAAAGAAAGCAAAAAAATATTTGGAAGATAAAAAATTAATGCCAGTTTCTGAAGTGTCCTTAAACCCTGTAATTTCATCCAACTCTTTACTAAGGTGGTGGGCTACTTCTGCTTCAAATGATTCCTTGTTAGAGGAATTAAACAATAGATTTGAACAAATAACAAATGCGTGGGTACAGGTGAGTAGAGATGAAGCTCAAAATTTTGTTCATAAAACAGAACACACTAAAGGTGATCATTTCAAAGCAGCAAGCCCTTTGGAAACTTGTCTTCTAAAACTTGAAGTTTCACCCGTAAAAATGCTTTTTCAGAAAAAGTATAATTTGAATGAACTTTGTACCTGGTTTATGCAAACAACAGAAACACAGTCCCTTTCACTAGTTAGAAAAGCAAATGCTCGAAACCCTTTTGAAGTGATAAGCACCAAGGGCATTAAGTTAGGGGTGAAATGCTGTGGATTTAATGCCACCCCCTTCAGAAAGCACTTTAAAAAATTTGCAGTCTCTTCTCCTTCAAAACCAACTGGGAAATTTCATATACTACATAAAATGGTTGGCTCACCACTCTTAAATGTGAAAAGTAATTTAACATTAGGGAGGTTGAGAAGGACTGAGTTTAAGAGTTTGCACTGTGAAAGGTGGAGAAGAGAGGAAAGGCCATACAGCCACAGAACAGTTGATTGGAGCTCAAAAAGAAGGAACTTAAGATGGTTCTGCCAGAATCAATCTTGGACTAACACGGAGGGGCAGACAAATGCAGAGACATCACTCAGTGGAAAAAGCACAGTAGGTAACCAATGGGCTTCGCCCCCGGAAACCAGAGTCACCTTTGCTAAAAGGAGGGTGGCAGTACATGACTTCAGAACACATGCTAGTTTAAAGAGTAAATTTAAGTCAGAAGCAAAGGAGAATGGAACAGGGTGTGGCCAGATTGACTCTGAAAAGGATCAAACACTAGAAAGTATATCTTCCCATAATTGGAGTTCAAAAACTTTAAAAGACTGTAGAATATTCTTGAGGAAGATCAACTGTCTTGAACACAGAAATACTTTAAAGCTAAATACAATAATTTATTCTCCTGAGTCTATTGACAGTGGAGGTAATCAGGCACAACCAGAAGAATCAAAGCGTTTTAGTTTAAGGTCCCATTCCGCAAGGCAAAATTCCCTTAAAAAGCAAAGTGAAGAAAGAGAAAATCCCAAAGCAAATAGTCCTGCAAGTGACAGACTGACTGATGAACTCGACAGCAGTCAGTTAAGTAAGCATGTTAGCTTTGACAAGAATCCCAGTAATGCTGAGGCTCTTAGTCAATTAAGCAAAAGAAAAAGACCACCATGGAAGACCACAGAAATGTCAGCAAAAAGATATAAGCGACAATCTTGCAACAGTGGACAAATGGCAAACTATTGTACAAAATCCCAAGTAGGTAAGTTTTTCTCTCCTTAATTTTAAAGTTTCATTGTAGGTGCCTTGAGTAAAACATAAGCTAGTAGGTAGAAAAGGAACAGCTAATCCGGTTCTAATTTATTTCTAAAATATTTGAGCAACTTCATTTCTTGGCACCTAGTATGAAACTGGGCAAATTAGGTGCTGCTAGATGTAGTGCACTTACCCGCTAAGTCTCTGGCATTCAGACACAAGCAAATACATTTAGAAGAGACTTGAAGAGTGTCGTGAAAATAGGCCATGAATGTATTTGATAGGTGACTGTGAACAGCTAACTAAAATTCACCACTGCAGGCTAATACTTGCTTATTCTCCTCAAAAATACCAACTATGAGAATATACAGAAAACAGCTAAGGCTGTCTCATTTAGAGACGTTGTAATCCTAAGGTGTAAATCTTCCTCATTAAACTGTTACTCTATTTGATACTTTTTTGAAAACATACTATACGACTGCTTATTTAGAAGGTGGTATACTAATTTTTCTCCAATGATAAACAAGTATATTAGGTGGGTTTCTGTGAATCAGCTCACTTGTGCAGATATAAAGAGGAGAATTCCTGTATGTAGCTGAGCAAGTCATTGTTAGGGTTATTTCAAATTGAGAATGGAATCAGAAATTAGGTGGTAGTGATGTACCTTCTTAAGATACACTGACATAGCTTCGGTACCCCAGGGAGATTATTGCCCTTTGAATGTAGTGATGATATGAGCATAGTAGTTGTCTGGATAGCAGTTTTCCATCTGCTTATTTGGTAGGTACTGAACAGTGCAGGATATTAGATAGGAGACTTTACAGATTTGTCTTTACCATGAAAGAATGCCAAGTTATATATTTAGAAAGAAGAACACAGCTTGTGTTCATTTTTACATTTGTATAACTTAGGAAAATCTTTGGGAACTTAGGGAAGTATTAGTGACTTACTAGAGTCAATAACATCAGGTCTCATTAAAATATTAAACACAGTAATTAAGTTGAAAAGTTTTATATAGGCTTTATGTGCACCCCCACCCCCAGTTCAGTTAACTGAATAATTTTAACATGCATAATCCAGTACTATGTAACATAATAATGATTAAAATTTCAAATATCCGGCATGAAATGACTAAACACTTAAAGGAGATCAGAGTACAATCTCTATTACAAAAGGTAAATGGAAACTATAAAGAATAACTTACTTGCGATTCTCAAGAAGGCTAAAAATAATATGAGATGTTTTGTCAGGAAAATACCTAAAAGCAAATTTTTAAGCTTATAATTCACCTAAAATATGTATACGAGTTTCATGAAGAATAAAAGTTTCATTTTACTTGTTTCATTTTCATCTCATTGCTGTTACAGATTTTTCAAAAGTAATTTGCATTAATTCATTTTACAACAGAACTGTATTTTATCCTTGAAGCTTCTTACCAATTGTATTTTCCCAACAATCAAACACAATCTTACTTTAATATTATTCCTCACCATGCCAAATGTAACATTCCTAAAATAGGAAGATGAAGTAGATTTAAATATTACTTTTGCAAATTAATTCTAAAATCCTTTGTGGGTATTTTAAAAATTAGCAACATATAAAGAACTGTTTTTCACCTTTTCCACTTTAAAATTTGCTAGTGCTGTTTGCTGTTCTGCTTGAAGTTTATTCATCTTTACTGATAACTTTCCTTCTCTATTTTTAACATTTTTTAAATCAACAAGATTATTTTTACAGTTATATTTATAACAATATTTGTTATGTTTATGTGATTTTTAAATGTTTCTTACAGTGTTGTTGTGTTTTTTTCCTCTCATTATTTTTGGTAGTCCATGCTTCTTTTTGCCTTTTTGGAAGTAACACTAAAACTCATCATTAGTTTTATATGTGTTTTTGTTTTCATAAATAATTAGTGACTGAAGATATAAGACTGTTAACTACAGGACTTTTCTAGACAAATTGTGAGGACAGTGTATATTTTAAAGTTTGGAATATTTCTATTAGTGGAAAATATTTGTGTCTATCATGAATGTCTTGCCTTTGTACATATTAACTGTCCAAATGTGATTTAATACATAAGATTTCACTGTATTTGCTGTACTCTGTGTCAATTGTAGAAATGAGAAGGAAGGCAAGTGCAGTTCTATGCTATTGTTTTTCTCCTTTTGAAGGAATGGCTACAGTATGTTCTTAGTGTGGAAGTTCCAGTTCAAAATGAGAAAATTTGTAACTTTCATATAAAGTTATTATATATTATAAGCATGATACTTCATGTTCAAAGGAAACAGTGACTGATGCCACAGGTTTTGCTCGTAGGAATCATAGAGAAGTAAATACTGAAGGCTGAAGAATGTGACCAGGAAGAATTACCTGCAGGAATATGAAGGAGGGATATAGAATTTCAGATTTATCCAACACTGTTGCTTATATAGTGAGAATTGTAAGAGTCTCAAGTACTAGGTGCTAAAAAGTGGAGGGAGGGGTTCCAGTAGAACAAATTATGTGCAGAAAATGTAGGCAATAAAGCTGGCTCATTTGGAACACTGAGTAATTTGTCAGAGCTAAGGTACAAAATAGACTCTGCAATGGTCAGTTGGAGGTATAAAATCTCAGAAGACAGACTCACTGGAGAGGCACTGTTCAAATGCTGAGGCAACATCAATTAATTGGGGTGGGGTGTCTAAGCGCTAACAAGAAAGTAGGAAAGATAAATTTTACAGAAGTCTATGAAATAAAATCACATCTTCTTTTTTCTTCTCTTATATAATACATTCCAACTGCAGTTTCCCCTCTTGTGACTCCTCCCAGTCTCCTCCCACCTCCTTTCTTTGAAAGATCCACTCCTCCACTTCCCTTCATAAAGAAAAAAAAAAAGTGCAGGCCTCTCAGAGACATCAAGCAAACACAGCATAACAAGCTACAGTCAGACTAGGCACAAACACTCATATCAAGGCTGGACAAGGGAACCTAGCAGGAGGGAAATTGTCCCAAGTTCAGGCAAGAGAGTCAGCGACAGCCCCTACTCCCACTGTTAGGAGTCCCACAGGAACACCAAGCTACAGGACCATAACATATGCAGAAGACCTAGCTCAGACCCATGCAAGGTCCATGATTGTCACTTCAGACTCTGAAAGTCAGTGTCTTAATAGAATAGGGGAATGAAGGGAAACATCCAGAATTTTGCATTGAGCGTCAAGAACATTTCAAGGGGTTTGGTTTTAGTTTAGGGGTTTAAATGAAGTTAGTGGGATATCTAAAAAAAAGATGTTAAAGAAGCAGATGGGTAGTGTGCATCCTGTACAGAGATGGGACTTGAACTGCAGCAAGTCACAAAAGTCACTGGTAGGAGAGATTCCTCAGTGTAAGACTGCAGGGTCCTAGGATCCCAGAGTCACAGCAGGATGCAAGAAATAGGTGTGTGTGAAATGAGACTGAAGGAAGTAGTCAAAGGATAAGAGAAGTGGGCAGAGACTGGAGGAAAATGTCTTAAGAAAGCAGGGTGCTTCAGTCATGATGAGCATTGAGATGGTTCCAGTAAATGCAGCAAGAGGTCATCAAGGTGAGGGAGTGGGGGACACTGGTGTGGACAAATAGTCGTGAAAGCCAGCTTCAGTGCCAGATGCTAAGTGGTCAAAGAGGAAATGAAAAAAACTGCAAAAAAGAAAAAGCAGCAGCTGTGAGTGGTCGGGGTAGAAAGGCAGGTGGCATCTGCTGAAGTTAAAGTGAACTTTAAAAATGTCTAATGGTCCTAATTCTCTTACAACAAAGTGGGGAAATAATATGCCGGATGAATCAAGAGGTAATCTGTGTCTAGGGAATAACTTAGTCAGTAAAGTATCTACTATGTAAGCATGAGGACATGAATTTAGAGCCCAGACTCCAAGATAAATCTGGACACAGATGCACACATCTGTACCTAAGCATTAAGAAGGCAGAGAAGGGTGAATGACTGAAGCTCACTGGACTCCTGTCGGACTAGCCAGATTATGAGTTCCAGTTTCAGTGAGAGATGCTGTCTCAGAAAATAAGGTGAAGAGCTGTTAGAGGAAGGTACCCGGTGTGGCCCTCTACTGTCACGTGCATGTGCACAAGCATGTACACTCGCCCACATCCACATGCTCATACTACACAACCATGTACATAACACACACATTCACAGACTTTGTACTAAGAAGCGTGGTAGGATTAGGAAACATGAGATTTGAATAGCTGTCTCCAGATATATAGAACTGAATAGTGATGTATTTTTATCTCAGCTGCCAGAGTGTACCTGGGTTCATCATGTATGTAATGAGAAGGTTAAAGGGATCGGTCCAGTGTGAACCGCATGATCAAACTAAATTACTGCCACTCTTCTAAAAGCGTTAAACAGATGTGAGAATTGGGTAAGGCAATGAACATTTGATGAGATGTAGTTTACGTATGTAATACAGTGCTAGAGCTTGACCGCTGGGCCACATACGTGATAGGCACATTATCACTGAGCCACACTGGGCCAAGTACAGGAGAGACACACTACCACTGAGCTACAGCCCCAACATTAAAATGGGGTGTTTGAAGACTGTAATTACCAAAAAAAATAGTAATACAGACATTTGTTAATGTCCATGTTTCTCAAGTCCAGGGCAAACATACCTGCTTCTAATTGGTAAATATCTGGGTACATACACTAATTATGGATATATGTGAGGAACTTGGTAAGACTATACCTCCTATGGACTTGAAAATACTATAGACTCATTTAACTCATCCTAAATTGTTAATTTTCTTCTATAAATATTCAAGAATTTAGATTGTAACGTAACTTTTAAAATATTCAATTTATCAGTTTCTATTTTGTCTTCTGTCCTGAGAAAGTGACTAAAATTTTTCATGTGTTTTTTGTTCTGAATGCTGCTTTTTACAGAAGTCTACTACTCCTGTGTGGTTTTTAAATGCTAGACCCCTTAAGCTACCTGAGACCAGGGCTGAAACTGTACCCCACCCTCTTTCCTCCCCTTAGACCATTCATTCACTTTGATGATTGAACACAAGTTGTTCTATCAGATTCGTGGGGCTGAGGTACATCATTACAGGGTAGTAATAGACATTATTATAGTTTATATTATTCACCATCATAATTGTCACTTAATGGAAAAACTCCAAGGTTCAGAGTGGATCATTCTAACTTTAATTTTGGTAGAGAAGTATTCCTACATAGCTCAGTCATGTGAAGTGCAGTTTCTATACAAGCTTCCAAAGGTGGATTCCAGGGAACATCAGCTGCGATGACACCCTTATGTGCCAGGTACTCTCCACCACCTGGGGCTGGAGTGGATCCTTTCTCCTCTTGTTTCCCCTTAGGCACAGTCCCTTCTCACAGTGTTAAATCGCATTCCCTAAACTTTTTCTGTCACTTTTTCTATCCATACTTGAAAGTACTCCTTTATAGAGTTTTCTGATAAGAGTTTCAGAAAAGAATGTGACTGTAAAGATAAGTTATGTGCTGTATTTAACCCTGTTCTGCACAAAATAAAAAAGTCCAAAGACAAGGGCTTTGTAAGGAATGCTGTGAGAAATAGCATTAAGAGCAAGATAATCACATTCTAGTACCTGATTTTGTTTTTTAGATGTTTGCTCAGATGACTATACTATTGCATTTTTGATAGGTTATAGCTAGAAAACATAAATTTATGGCTACTTAGAAAAAGATCAAAATGATTTTTGTTCATTCCCAACTCTGTAGCTACATTTCCCGGCAACCGTTGCTTTAGTTCTGTGGTGGTGTCACAGAGCTGTGTGCATCCTTATCCAGCCACATGGTGCTGGGGGCACCGTGGACAACAGGCTTTCTTTCCATTTTATAGATCTGTATTCTCCCCCTTCAGATTGTTAGTGCTGTTTTTCTAGCTGAGGTAAGTTCAGAGGTCATCCTCCTCCTCTTTGACAGCTGCTGACATCTGTTCAAAGCTAATTTCATTGGTCACATCTGCCACATATGATCTTGTTGCCTCACCATACCTAAGTAATCTCTGCCTTTTACGTTTCTTTCTTGCCTTTTTGTTTGTTTGTTTGTTTGTTTGTTTTAGTTTAACTTTCTTGAGACAGAAATGCTGTATTACACAGGCTAAGTTGAAATCCTGCCCATGAAGTAGCTGTCTTCAAAACATGGTCATTGAACCACTCCATGTTTGTTTCTTCACTTTAAGAATTACGTGTTCGAACTGTAGACATGACTCAACAATAAAATGCACTGGCTGCTCTGCCAGAGCACCCACAATTCCCAGCACACACATGAAAACTCACAACCAGCTCTAACTGCGTTCCCAGGATCTGTCACACTGTACTGTTCTCTGCTGGCACTGCATTCATGTGGTGCACACACATGCATTCAGCAAATACCCATACACATAAAATAACTCCAAAGAGAAGAGAGGGGGCAGGGAGAGGAAGAGAAAGAAAGAGAAAGCAGGCAGGCAGGCAGGCAGGCAGAAAACCCAAATTCAAGGGGAGGTTCCTAGGGCTCCCTTGCAGTGTGCTCAATAGCTTGACTTTTTCTACTCTAATCTAGGAGTAATAACAGTAAAAACAAAGAACTCAGAGCTCTTTGTCGAGCTTTCCTACATCCTGGTCCTTTCCCTTACATTTTCTAGACCATAAACAGTTTCTTCACTGACTCTGATCATCCTGGCATTACAACACCACCACCACCGCCCAAAAAAAGCCAAAACATGGTAGGTGTCCAAATGATTTTTGTTGTTGTTGTTTAGTTTAATTTTCTGCCAAATATTGGCTTCTTCCTCCTGGTTCTAGGCAACACTGGGAAGTTCACTGTTTATGTTGTTTCTCTGATTGAAGAATGTAGAAAATCTTGGCCCTTGGAAAACTGAAGATGAGCCCAAGATTGAGGCCACGCTGTACATAGCAAACTCAAGACCCAGTCTCAAAAACAAGTTTGTCTTCTATGTGCTTCTATATGGTTTAGGCTTAGTCTTTTCCCCCCAATTTGATAATATCTTCCTTTTACTAAGCCACTTATATTTCATGTTATTAATATGATTCAGTTTAAATCAGCTAAAACATTTGCTTTCTATTCTAGCCTAATATTTTTTTCCCTCAGGGTCCATATATTTTAATAGTCTATTTAGTTTCTTAATTCACTCTTTTAAAAAATGGTTGCTATATTCTGGGCCTGTTGACACAAGCTTGTAAGCCCAACTACTTGGGAGCCAGAGGCAAAAGGATCCCAAGTTTGAGGTCTTACTAGATAACTCAGTGATGCTCTGTCTTGAAAAGTTTAAAAGAGAGCTGGGGATATATCGTAGAGTACATGGGTGACACCTTACACTGCATCACCAGGGCCACAAATAAAACATGAAATGGAGCTATCAGATTTACACTATCATTCTATCACCTTCAAATATTATACCATTTCATGAATGATAAATTTTATTACATTTCCACTTCCTTCCCCAAGTATTTGTGCTGTTGTTGTCATATATTTTATATCTATAAATATATAAATTGTACAAATACTATTTCTAGAATACTAATTCCACTATTCCTATTTTTGTTTCATTAAACAATATAATATTGCATTTTCTATTGCTATAACAAAATACCTGAGGTGGACACTTTATAAAAAACAAAATATCTGGTCTTGACTGAAAGCTAGAGATCAAGCAGCCCCAACTGTTTAAACTTTGTCAAGGGCCCCAAAATCAGAGACAGAAAATGCAATGACATCCTAGGACAGGTGAGTCTTGTAAAAAGACAACATGAATCCCTTCTGAGAATAGGGTTCTCCCACTGGGCAACACAGCTTGAGGTTCTACCACCTCCAGTACCTTGGCCCTTCTAAAGATGTGAACCCCTGGGGGACACACAAGCCACATCCAGTCTGAAGTGCACAGTCATCTTCCAAGGACATTTTTTAAAAAAATGAAGTTTTTCTTTTCACAAATTTTTTTTGTGCTTTTTTTTTTTTTAACAAACAGTATTTCTGTCTAAAATTATTTCATTCTTCCTGAATGTTTTTCCTGAGTCTCCGGTAGTGCAGTTCTGCTGTGGGCTGTTTTCCCTCATCCTTTTCTTTTTATGTGACTTTCCTTTTCAGAGGGTACCTTGTGAACTGGGCAGGGAGATAGACACCTGTAGTTCAACTTACATGGGAGGCAGAAGGATGGTGGGTTTGAAGGCATCCTGGGCTGTATAAGGACTTGTTCAAGGCCACCCTGAGCTACTTGGACCTTAAACAGGTGCTGGGGGTATTGCTCAGTGATAGAGTACTTGCTGAGTATGTGTAAGGCCTAGAGTTTGATCCCAAACACTACAAATTACTTGTTTTCATTAACATAGATTTCAAATGTTAGTCTTTTAAAGGTGATTTTTACCTTGCTGCTCCTGAAATTACATTTGTGGCTCTGGTTAATTTTATCTCCTGCATGTTTTCATGCCTACTAACTTGTATAAAGTGTGAGGCACTGTGAGTTTTAGGTTATTTTGCACTGGGTTTTTCACGATACTTTACATGTTTTGGACTCTTACTGAGAAATGCTTTAATCCTTTCAAGTCATCTTTAAGCATCACTAGGAAAAGCCAGAGTAACTGTTAGTCTACAACAGTGGTACTCAATAAGGGATGATTTTGCTCCACAGATGACAATTTTTGTCACATTTAGAGGGTGATGTGGGCATCAGGCAGGTAGAGGCCAGAGATGTGGCTAAACATCTTACAGTGGATGATAGGCTGACCCTTCACAATAAAGAATTATGTGGCTCCCTAATGCTATGACTAGAAAGTTTTCCATCTGAGCAATCTTAACACTTACATGAAGACTCTTAGAAGACCCAAAGTTGGATAAGTGGGGTTGTATATTATATCCAGACCTGGATGACTCATAATTTTCAAAGCCTTGGAAAAGACTCATGCCCTGTTCTTCACATCACATGTGTCTAAACACCTGGGAACATCCTGTTGTAGTTCTGGGGTATACACTAGTAAATATTCCTGTTCCTGAAAAATTTCTCTCAGCAGCCCTCAACTGTCTCTTGTACTCTCAACTATATGCCTCCTGGGTTCGTCTCACAATCATGCAGCCTGGAAATCTGCCAGATGTCAAGCCAGTTGTAGGACTTTTTCTTCATTCAGGAATCAGTTATAATGCCCTGCCCTGTATATTTTAATTTTGGGTTTAAGCTGTTTCAAAGCAAGAAGGCAAATCTGGTTCCTATTACTTTATTGTGCCCAAAGCAGATATCCCAGATTTATTCTTTCAGCAAGCATTTGTCTAGTTTTTATGTGCTAGCTACTGGAAAGAAATGGTGAACCAAACAATAAGGATCTCTACACTCCTTATACTTGTAGTCAATGGAAGGGCAAATATAGAACCATGAAGTAGTGGTAAGCTGTGTTGAAGATGCTGAACTCTAGAATGAATTTCTTAGGGACAACTGGGTTGAAAGAGAAGGAAATTTTTTGTGACACTGGGGGTTAAGATAGCACTTAACAGAACAGGTAAGGGCCTTGAAGGAGAACTTGCAGAGTTGAGAAGCAAACAAAGCCTGGAACTCACCTTTGAGAATCTCAACCTTGACTTTCCAGATAAAGTAGCTTGCAGTGGGAAAGGCAGTAATGTGTCTGGTCTTAAAGGCCTAAAACTGTTTCAGGAAGGAAGATGGGGTAGCTTAGTCTGCTTGGGTTGACACAAATACTACAAACTTACTGCTTAAACAATCATTTGCTTTCAGTTCTGGAGGCTGGGGACCCACAAGTACCAGCAGGATTTGGTTTCTGGTGACTGTTTCCTGGATTACATAATAGCAGCCATCTCACTGTACTCTTATATTGCAAAGAAGACTGGTATCTCTTCCTCAAGGAAGGATACTAATCTACTCTGTACAACTCTGACTTATCTTAATTACTTTCCAAAGGCCCTGTCCCTGAGTTGGAGACATAGCAGGGACCATCAATATTGAATGGTAAGAAAACAAAATGAAACTTAAAGATGGGACTTGTTAGTGTGATCATTAGGAGCGACTTGAGTAAGAAGTACTATTTTCATGGAGTATTGGAAGCCAGATAGGTTTATTTACTGAAGACATGAGGAGATTGTAAAACCAAGTACAGGAGTATTCATTTAAGGCACCTAGGTCTAAAGGATTAACAAAGAACATGAGTTAGGGTAAATTCTTGTTCCAGGTTAAAACTGCACTGATTCAAACAGTTATGGTGAGCATCTGATTAACAAACGATCTTTTATGAAAATCCCAAGAGCACCGACACCCCGTCCCCACTAACACTCAACCCCAAGCCTTTACTTTACTCATGAATCTGGTTGGCAAATACAGAGCCAATGTTTTGATTTTGCTTTTGCTCCCTCACTACCTCACTGTTAGCTGGCATATCTCTCTGGTCAATGAGACTTTTGAACCCTCCCAGTAGTTTTACCTATCAGTTGCTATCACCATTGCCAACAAACCACTTGACAGCAGTCACACTGGTGATTTGGTTATAGGAAAGCAAAAGGGTGAATTTAGAAATAGGTCAAGAAATTAAGCTATGAGGCCATTTAGTTTGCCATAAGAGAAACATTATTAGGATCACTAGTAACTCCTGAAAAAAGCAGATGGGAACAGAGTACAAGAACATTCTAAGTCATGGCAGAACCTCAAGCTAGTATTATTTTAAACCCCCCAAACACCAAGTCTAATTTGTGCTAGCCATGTACTGCTGGGTATGGGGGCATCTACTGGAAAGCACAGTTGATCTATCAGAAGCCACACCTTTAAAGAAAACTTCCCTCAGAAGCCATCAACTGTCCATCAGTCCTCAGTTATATGTAGGGACTCATGACTTTATTGCTCTTGTTGTTGTTATATCCAGCCACACCTAATCTCCTAGGCTTTGTAAGAGATCCCTAGACTGTGGAAACAGTTTCCCAGTGTCTGGAATCAAATGATTTATATGGGGGCTGTAACCTCAAAACATCTTTGTATCAAAGATTAACCATAATAAATTTAGGAGGCTAATTCTGTCATGGTTTCAACTCAGCCAGAGGGTCCTCAACGCAGATGGGCAGTAGCTGTAGTTGGATACTCATGGAGTCCAGAAGAAATGTTTCTAGCAGAGGATGGGGGACTGAAGCGGTCCCCATGTGTCCAGAAAAGACCTGGGCTACCACCTGGGGACTCAACTTCTGGGTTCAGCACTACCTGATAGTTACTTCTCTGCCAGTGAAATGAGCCAATTCAAGCCAGATTAGACATGAAATGCAGATTTATTGGGAGGCATCTTGGGTGATGCCTTAGTCAGGGTTTCTATTCCTGCACAAACATCATGACCAAGAAGCAAGCTGAAGAAGAAAGGATTTATTCAGCTTACACTTCCACATTGCCATTCATGACCAAAGGAAGTCAGGACTGGAACTCCAACACAGGTCAGGAAGCAGGAACTGATGCAGAGCCCATGAGGGATGTTACTGGCTTGGTCAGCTTGCTTTCTTATAGAACCCAAGACTACCAGCCCAGGGATGGCACCATCCATAATGGTCTAGGCCCTCCCCCCTTGATCACTAATTGAGAAAATGCCTTACAGCTGGATCTCATGGAGGCATTTCCTCAAGGGAGGCTCCTTTCTCTGTGATAACTCCAGCTTGTGTTAAAGTTGACACACAAAACCAGCCAGTCCAGGTGAGTTCACTGGACCTAGGGAAGGAGCCCAGAGAAGTCCCCATAGGGAGAGAATGAAGAGGGGAAAGAGAAAGGAAGAAAGTGTGCACATACAGATAGAGCGAGTGCAGGGGGAGACCAATTGTCTGGATTATATAGGGATGAGACTCCGAGGGAAAGGAAGCCCAAACCCCTGGGCTGAAAACAGGGTTGTAGGCATGGTATGCCAGGTAGGAACTAAGGGATGCTGGGAGAAAATGGAAGCCAGGTCTGTGTTGATATGTAAGATATCTACCTCAGTCCCTTGTCCCAGGATCTGAAACCAAACATGAACCACTTCCCCTCCATGCTACCATGCTGACAGGCTTGATCTTATGTGGAAAACCACAGTGAGCACTGCAGTCTTGTCATGTCCAGAAGATTCTGTTTGACTCTGATCCTCCCCAACCTCTGGCTTAAAATTCATCCCCCTCCACTTTCATGATGCCTGCTGACCATTACAGAGGTAAGAGGTGATATAGATGTCCCATATGTGGCCCAACACTCAGCAGACAGCTGTTCTTTGCAGTTTAACTAGTTACAGATTTCTGCTAATCACTGTCCACAAATCGACATCTCTGATGTGGTCTGAGAGCTGCAATAATCGAAGGGTATAAAGGTAAAAATTTAGAAAGCAGTTTGATATTATATCCACTTACCAGAACACTAGCAGGTTTACCCATAGATCCTGTTGAGCTACCTAACCATGGTTCTTGACACAATTCATAGTAACAGACATGTCTCCTCCTACAGATTAAGCCTTAAATCCAATCAGCAAATCCATGATATATGTGACATTATTGTATCCATGTGCATATCCTGCCACACCAGTCATTGCATGTCACAGGGTCACAGTTGGGTAAAACTGTTGATAACTACCCACCACTACCACCACCCTGTGCTTTACATTCCAGTAAGAGTGAGCCATCAAGAAGGAAGCTTCGTGGTCAGTGCCAAGTTGATTTCTCCATGTCCTGTGGCCAATGTGCAGTCTTCAGCAATGTTTATGGGCTTACCACCAAGTTCTGGTGGGCAACCAACAGCAAGGACAATAACCTATATGATTTCAGAGGAGGGGAGGAGTAGTTTAAGACACCTCTTATCAACAGCTTGAGGAGGGAACATACCACAGTGGCACTGGACTTTTTATTTGGCAGCCCATGGCTCTAAGAACATATTCCTTGTGTAGGGTAACACCACTTCAAATTATATGAACATGTGGATATGTGCTTATAATAGGTTTCCATAAGTCTTTTTGAAAGACCTTTAGTATTGCTTATCCTCACTACCACCACTTCTAACCTACCCTCCTACCCCTCTTCCCATCTTTCTCTTGATAACACCTATGTTCTTCTAGGCCCCCCACCTTTAAGAACCTTCTCCCTGCACCAATACTCTTTCCGGTTTCTCTAGTCCTGAGTACTCCAAATTAAATATACAAGTCCATAAATTTGACAGTAAGATCCACATTAGTGCCTTTCTGGGTCTGTTACTTCACTTAGCTGAAAAGAAAACTAGTACTTTATTCTAGATTTCTCGTGAATTTCTTTATTATCAGTACTATGGTTTACTAGTAAGACAGGCTTTGTATCACCATTATATTTGAAAATTTGAAAGATATTTCTAAAACTTGGAATAAATCATAAATATAAGATTCTTGATTTGTGTTTATGTAACACAATACTTCAAAAGTGGGTATTTTGTAAAGAAATGGGGTCTACTTAGGTCATGGTCCTGAAGATTTGAGAGTGTGGTGTTCATGGTCTCAACAAACATGAACTTCAAAGGGGAAAGGAAGAGGCAAGAAGACAGAGACACTGAGACCGTGAAGGAGCCAGGCTTGCTCTTTTAAAACAGCTGTCTTACTTCTGTAAAGCCTTATGCACTATACAAGATTAAGCATTAATCTCTTCTAATTAATCTAAGCATGGTTCAGTCACCTACCACCTCCTAAAAATCCTGTCATCTTTTTTCTGCTTTAACTATCAATACTTTATAATTTCTCAGTGCCATTTCAGTGGAAATTGGTACTTGACATTAGGACATTAAAGAAAAAATACTATGATCTTTTTCAGTATGTCAACCAAGAAAGCGTACTCAAATGAGTATTCATAGTCACACTGGCAATCCCAAATATATAGCTTAGATCTTATGGCGCTCTTCATTTGATTCCCCTTTAGCCTCCTTGTATTCCCTTACCACACAAGTTAAGCCTTACCTAAAGTCGTAACACAAACAGATGACACGTGAACCGACCATATTTTACCATGAGAGAAAACACTTGCACCCTTTGATTTTTAACAGGAGTAACATTAGTTCACATTTATTGAGGAACCATTCTGTATACAGTCAGTGGCCCAGACATTTTACATACATTCTATGCTTGACATAAATACACTTAATCATTCCATTAAGTCGACAGATGAAAAATGTGCACTCAGCTAAGCATGGGATCAGAACTGGAGTCGTAAATTCCTTTGCCCTAAATTAAGATCTTCATCCTCTAAGACCTATTTCAAATGTTTCTTACCTTAGCCTTCCCACTCTGCTGGCATCAGCTTGCTTCTCTGGTCCTTACTAATGTATTACAGTTTTGCTTTGTTTTTCTGGTAATTCATGAATACCTTCTCTCCCTGTATCCTTCCCAAACTCTGAAGACAGATCCCACAGGTTTTACATTCCTAATATACTAGATCTTGGTTAAAGTTTTAAAGTTACCATATAGACCAGCTGGTGAGCATGTGCAGGAACAGAAAAGCTTTGCTTTGTGCTAACTAACAAAATCATACTCCAGCACACCAAAAATCCTTCAGTTGACTGCTTAGTAAATCAGAAATGTGAGACTGCACATCTTGACAACTTTATATTTGGATAAATTCATGGAGACAGTAAACTATAGACTCAAGCTTGACCATATTAAGTATTTAGAATATTTGTAACATTTTTAGAGCAAAGTCATTCAGTTGTCCAGAATTCATTTGTCCAGCTCAAACCTGATGCTGACAAGCACACTACAGTCATACAATCCAAAAACCCAGCTTTTCTGTGCATAGTGACTTCTCACTCCTTCTGAAGAGACAGACATGGATCCCATTTCTGTCTATGCCCAAACATTTTTCCCATTTTGCAGAATTGAATCGAGCTCTTTATTTAGCTGATGCTACAAGGAAGCTTCATGTATTCAAAATGGCTCTCCTATGGGACTATTGCTGCCTAATAAACCTGTATATCACAAGAATTGTGAGAATTAAGTGGTAGCTATTAACATGAGAGAATCATGACAGAATTAGAACTACGGTAGCCGATAAGATTTAGTATATGGTGACTGGGAATGAGGTAACAGAGAAAAGACTTTTCATAAAGAGCTTGCCTGGACTGTAGCAACTGTTCTATAAATGATATTTTCAGACATGTAGATCACATGAAAATTTAATGTTTCTTTGAATGTTGTCTAGCTAACAAAGTTTACTGTGAGCCAATGTCACATAACCAAAATTGCAATTTACTGTCACATCACAGTTCTAGCCATGAGCAAGCCTAAATCAATTTAAAGTTAGATATACTAAATTTTCTTTATCCTTAGAATTATCAATAATCATTATCACAAACAGTTGAAATTCCATGACCCTCAAAATACAATTACAAATGCACATACATACTCTCTAAACTGTCATACTCTCTAAACTGAGAGATTACAAATACTGAAATAGCGTGAGATTTCTACGTAACCACTTAAGAGTCCCTGTGTCTCAGTCAAGGTTGGCTGCATTGATGGAAGAAACCTGACTTAGCATAAGTAACTCCTCCAGCTTCCTCCTTTGACTGGACTATTCAGTGCTACACATTTTAGCTGATAATATAGCTCCATATTTTTTTAAAGTATTTTAAATTGCTCTTAAGCTTAAGTTGACAAGATGTCATCTTTTTCATACAAATAAAATTAGACAAGGATACTTTAAGGTATTGAAAATAATAACGTACTTATGAAAATATTATTTTTCTTAGATAAATGCATCATTGTCAAAACTTAATTTGTGACCACGACTTGTATTTTTCTCTTTAGCAATATACTTGGTATTTTAGCTGTCAGCCCACTCCCATTGACATATCTCTATGGCTTGCCTTACGTTCTCAAAAAGACGGCTATTGCATACTTGCTTTAACTAGTAGTTCACCCACTGACACTTGCCACTCACTCACATCACTTGCCAAACACAGCATGTCTTAGGTCAATCCCTGCCCAGTAACACAACAAAACAGAAAACAAAAATCCTCTAATAACAAAGAAGTCGTTTCTGTAGCTAGAGAGATGATATTTTAGCAGTAGCAAGAGAATCTGATAACCTCTTCTGAAAGGCAGCACTCACATATGCACTATACTCATATGCACACACCCACACAACGCACATACATAATTTAAACAAAACAAAATTCAGGTAATAAAAATACCATTTTTATTTTTCTTTAAACTAGTAGCAATCCTTATAGTAAGAAAAACACCACTGTCTCACTAACTTAAAAAAAAAAAACATGAAATACCCAGGTACCTCAGTCTAACAAATAAACCAAAATTTTTCTTTCAAAATTTAACATTTCAGGTAACTGTCATTTAGATTTTTCTGTCAATTGTTATTTTATTTTTAAAAAATATATTCATATTTACTAATTACATCCAGTAACTAAGCTAACTTATAATTGTTACTTTGCTAATATCTAATTATATAAATTGAAATTTTACATAATTTAAATTTATTTGTAGTAAAAATATAGTAGAAAAGGACTGCCTAGAGGGGAAAAAAAAAGAGAAGCATGGAGACTGTCAACCAGTGTTGGTAAAACATAGTGTAAGGAAGAAATCAAAGGGAGGAAGAACAGATGGGTGGGTAAGCAAAGAAAACAAAAAAAGAGTTGTATGTAATCGGCAAGCAGGATACTGATTATCCTGTAGGTGCTGCCTGTGTTCCTGTGTTGAGCTGGCCACGAGAGGAGATTGAATGGATGACTCAACACTCTCCTACCAAACAGGCCTATTTTTTTGTCTAGTCTTAATGATAATCAGTCTACTAGAAAACTAACAGAGGAAGCAAGAGAAGAGGAAAACGATGTTTCTAGTACCACACCAGTTATAGTATGACATAGCTCATATTTCTGGGACACAGTTTATCACTGACAAAAAACAGTGTTTTTCATTTGTTTATATCATTACCATATCTGCCTTTTCCTGAAATTAAAATGATTATTTATTGCATGTGAATGAGCTTAGAGCACAGCAGGAATTAACAAATGTTTATTCTCTTAAAAGTAGTTCTGATGCTAAAGGGTTGAACCTTGCCAGTAAGTTAAATGCCTTTCTTATTTAAGCTAATGTAATGCAGTGATTGATGGCTTTTGTATTGAGATATCTGCGTGCACATGCCATATTTACACATGATATAGTTCATCACACTCAGTTCACTAAGACAGCTATAGAATTAGAGGTGTCAGGATCATAAACAGTTTGCTTTAGAGTACAAAAAATATTCCAGAATTTTCTACAAGGTTGACAATTTGAAATTTAAACTTAAAATGCCTTACACTTTTTTTTTACAGCATGCTACAAATGAAAACTGATGAGAAAGTGGATGTGTCTGATGGGAACCCAGCAAGCTGCCCACTGAGCCCCATTAAGATGTGCCTTAATCATCCTATTGAGTGGAATCTAACAGCGGCATCACTAGCAAGCTGTACAGTTCATAACCAAAATCTCAAAAATGAAGAAAATTAGTCTGCAACCCTTGCACTATCTTTATTTTTTATGTCAATATTCTTTCTCATGAAAACCAATTGATACTAAAATATTTCTAGTCCTGTGATCTGTCTTTATATTAGGTCATTAGCATTAATCATTTTATTATATTCTGTTTTTACATACATTAAACAAGACATTGTGGGGTTTTGCAACAAAAGCAAATTTTGATGTTCTCTTTTTAATCGGTGAATTTTTTAATGCCCTCAGCTTAAATATGTAATGGCCTAGTTCTATTTCTGTGCAGTTTTCACATACGACAAATTCTGTAATTTAGAAACCTAGTATTGTAAAGATGTGTGATAATGACCTAACCCATGAACAGTTGTGTAACAGGTGGATGCTAACTACCTCGAAGCAAACTGGGAAAGGCAAAGGTATCAGTTAGAAGTGTATCTCTTCTAAAGTTATATATGTATAGAAAAAGATTGATTAGCTTATCAAATAGCATGATTTCATTCATTTAAAAAAAATGGGTCACTAGTTCCCTTTCTGTAATTTAAACCTCTCATCTGTGGGCCATGAGAGCAGTGGCACAATTGCATGTTTACTCTTCAGCAAACTTGTGCCTCAGTGGGAAACAAGAACACTGGTTTAGTTCACAAGGTTGAATGGAAAAAAAAAAAAAGAGTATCTGTTTTTATACCTGTTGGTTTTATTGTATTTTAGCAGTTTGCTCCAAAGTTTACAGGAGTATCCTGTAGAAGCAGGACAATATTCCGTAGAAGTGCTAATGATGCTAGGTATACTGCAGCCAACAGCTGTTGTCTAAAATCTGAGTAGTACAACTACTACTAGTGGATCAGTGCTTAAAGTCAGAGGAAAACATTGGTAGTGTCTACATGATCATAGCGTCTTTCCTTTTGGCTGCTCTGCACGTGTATAAATGAGATGATAGTTCATTCCTAGCAGCTTTCCCTTACACCATGCTAATGTGCCATTTTAGCCCTGCTTACTTCCTATTCCCCACGAATTTACTTTAAGACAGGGATTTAACAAAAACTATAACAATAAGAAATATGAAGCACAGGAAAAGACATAGAGCCAAGAGATAAAGAACAACAGTGTTTTTCATTGGTTTATATCATTACCATATCTGCCTTTTCCTTTTGCTTAATAAGCATTCTTGCTTTGTAACTCTGACTCCTTTTCTGAGTTCTATAAAGCACATATGTATATAGAATAACCTTTTAGTTCTAAAAACCAGCAATATTACCTTTCACTCCATCTCAGAACATCTGTTAAATAGCCTCTGATAAATAAATTTAAAGAAGCAGAAGCACAATTAATAAAAATTTCATGTTAGGACATTTTTATCCAAATAAAAGGTGTTTCTCTGGGTTAGGCAGAAAGAAAAAGGACTACTTTTATACAATGCAAGTTTCAAAATATTTATGTTTCATAACAGTGACAACTTCAAAAGATAATTGAAATTAAGTGAGGAAACTGTGCTCATAAATCAGTACATAAAGGTGGCTTCTTATAACTTTTATTTCCTATTAGTATTGTTTATTATTCAAGGTAGAATATATTTTGATGTGCCAAAACCCAATGTATCTTCCATGATTAATGTTTGTGTGAACACCTCCCTAATCTAGAATTATTCATAAACTAGTGTTCCTATATGGAAAGATTTATGAAGAGAAATTACCCATTGAGGTGAAGTTATCAAATAAATACTCAGTATAGGAATGATGTAATTCTCAAAGCCATTGTTTAATGGAAATAAGGAGTGCTTTGATTCATTATGCTGGCCCTCAGTGGTCCTAAGCAGCTTTCTGTGTAACTGTATGTACTTTACCCTTCAAATGCCATTTGTTTGATGTCTGACATATTCACCTATGTTACAGCTAGTCTAAGCTTCTCAAATATAAGCTAGTGGGCTAATTATAAATCTTTCCAAAATGTCATAGTTTCATAGGGTTTACCTAGGAAACCTATTTAAAAGCAGGTTTCTAGGCCCACCTAACATTCTGATAAAAACCAGTCTGGATTCATGCAGATGGATCACACTGACACATGCTGAAGTCATGTGGCATCATTCATGTTTCCAGAAACACAGCAAGCATTTCTGATTTTACCATAATAACTATTAAAGCAAAGATATAAGCACAACTTCAAAGGATTCTATCCTCATCAGCTCTCTTAACTTGACTCTTCATTAAGAAACTCTGAAAGGTTAAGTTTACTTTTCTGTAGCGCAGCTGTTTTGGCTCGTCTGGGTAATCTCATCTTCATTTCTGATGGTGGTTCATGATCACTAAATAGATGTTAAAAACATTCATTTAGATATAAGCTTTAAAAATCTGAATATTTATAAATAAAAATTTTGGTTTCTGATATTCCAATATTGTGTAATAGATAGTCTGAGTCTAATAACTAAGCTTAAAACTAAAATTTCAAGCAATAACCAAAAAACAATGGCTGGATGGCTGTCCTGCCAAGTGAATCAGAAAACCTAACTAGTCTGGTCATTTTTAATCCACTGGTAAAACCTGGTGTCATACATATAGGGAAAGAAGCAAAGCACCAAGCTTTTACAGTAAAGCTTGTAATTACATAGGGACCATACAATTGTCCTAAAGGATTTAGAATTCAAATGGAAAAAAAACAAAAAACAAAAAACAAAAACAGTACTATGTTAACTTAGTATATTACTAAAACATTGTAAAGTCCCCCCAAAAGCACTTTAACCAAGACTTAATCTAAGAAAGCATGCAGGGTCCAATACCAATGACTAAACAAATGCAAGATAGCTATAAACTTTTCAAGCTCAGCCATGGCTTGACAGTGACTTAAAAAAAAAACAACTATTAACACGAACCACTAGTACATTAAAGTTATAAGCAGAATTGTAACTGAAAGAATCCAAATGTTATCTAAATCAAGATAAGAGTCATGTATATAAGGTTATTAAACAATACATGGAAATACATGAGAATACATGGAAACTCTTGTCTCAATACCAAGAAAATATATTAAACTACTACTAAAGCCAATGCCAACTAATAAAAATATACACCTCTTCTTAAGTCAAATGTTCTAGATAAGTTTAGACTATTTACCAAGATCACAGATAAATTATAGTTTTTACTATCTTATAGTATACAAAGTTTCTCTCACAAGAAAATTACAATATTCTACTTCTGAACAAAATGAAACTGATGGGCATCTTCTCTGTCTTATAGAAATACATGACATACCTTTCGGAGTCAGTCCCCGCAGTCTGGCGTCTCCTGTTGGTCTTAGATGAAACTGGCGCTTTTCTACGTCCTTAAAGACAGTATAACTTATTGGCAAAATTTTTAATGGTTTCGTGTTTCCAAATCTAGTTTCCAAGCCATCTAAATCTTTTATTTTCAGCACAACAGTCTCTTTCAACACATTTCCTAATTCCTATCTACTCTGATGCTCTCAATACATAGTGGAAGGGGAAATACTAAAATTTATGTAAACTTCTTGGATGAGCACTACAAATATGTAACAAAGAGGTAAACTTTAGGTCACCACATATGGTGACAAAAACATCTCAGGCTGAGTGTGATAGCTCATTTGGTAAAGTTCTGGCTTTGTTAAGGATAAGAGTTTAAGTGCCAGAACCCAAATAACAGTGAGGAGTGGTGGCACATACTTACAATCCCAGCACTGGGAAGGCGGAGACAAGCAGGGGCTCTGCCTAGATCCCTCAGTGGCCATCTAGCCTAGCCTGCTTGGAGAGCTCCAGACTAGTGAGAAACTCTTGTCTCAAATATAAGTAGACCTCCACATGAACACTTATGCACACATAAATGAATGATCACACACATATAAAACAGTTTTCTATTACAGCAGAGGTAGAGTTAATATGGAAAAATTAGCAAAAATATTACAAGGGCAAGCTCAATCAATGAACAGTTTCTAAATGAAACTGTATTATATATATTTATCTTTGAAGCACTACATTGCTTAGCTAGTCTGGCCTCAAACTGATGGGCTCAAGCTGTCCTCACACAGCCTCTGGAACAGCGGTTATTACAGCTGACATTATTGTACCTGGCTTCAAAAGAAATGTAAACAGCAAGATACAGGTTGCTTGTAAAATACTTAAATTTGTACGTAGAAAATTCAAATGCGTTCGTAAATATAATTCAAAGTTGTTTTTTTAAAAAAAAAAAAAAAAAAAGAACCTTTATTCACCAGGGTTTGCTTGTTAGATTCTACAAGATTGAGAAGTCAGGATCAGGGACTGTGCTCAGTGGGTAACGTGCTTGCCTAGCGTGTAAAGATCCTGGTTTGCTCAACCATGTAAAATGGAGCATGGTGATACAACACCTATATTCCTAGACTGTAATCAGAGTTCAAGGTGAAATGGTGACTTTGAAGCTACCCTAGGATATATGAGAACCTATTCTGAAAAAAGAGAGACATAATAAATTTGGCCTGCAATGTTCTTCACTTATAAGAAATAGAATGTAGCATGTATATATTATGTTTAGACTATTAAAAAATGGAATTTTCATACTTTATTCTATAACTAAAAGTAATCTAATCAAAATCAATTGTTCATTTGACAATTTACTTGAAAATTGTATATCCTATTCATTGTTATATATCTCCCCCTCATATTTTATTTATTTGTTTTCAATAATGTATTTATCCCCAAGAAAACATCCAAAAATATGGAAGTAATTTGGAACAATATCCAGTAATTGGTGTTTAAATAACTGGTTTGTTATGAAACAATGTTATGGCCAGATTCTATTCTAGAAAAGATTAAATATACTTAGAACAGAGCCATAAGACTATTTTCAGTAATTAATATCATGTTTGGCTCATGGGTGGGACTATTAGTGTTCTTGATGGTAGGTCTGCCTGGATGTACTTTCTTACTCTTCTGTAATAAGCATGCATTGCTTTTGTAATAAGGAATTAATAAAACAATTTAAAAAGCCTTGAATTTCAAATCTTTTTCAAAATGATCCCCTACTATTAAACATGTATTTATTCCAGCAAATATTCAACTGCTGGATACCCCTTGGGAAAATGACTGGAAGAAAAATGAAATTAGACAGGGAGAAGGAAGTAAAACAAAATGCAAAGTCTTGGGAGGGGAAAAAATGCTCACTCACAAAAAATGCTAATACTTCTCACACCAATACTACAAATACAACTCAAAATTTAACTTTTTTTTCCCCTTTCCTTTTTTGGTTGATACTGAAGTCTCTACATAGCCCTGGCTGTCTAAGAATTCACTCTGTATACCAGGCTAGCCTAAAAACTCGCAGAGATCTGCCTGCTTCTGCCTCCCAAGTGCTAGGATTAAAGGTATGTACTCCATGCCTAGCAATTTAGCCTATTCTTAATTTATCCCCAGAGATCACATTATTGTATAATTTTTTGGTATATTTTTTATTCAAAAGCATATGGAACAATGACCCTACGATCTTCAGAAAAAGCAATAATCCCCATCATCTGAAGGAAGTAAAAAACAGCTATGCATTCCCAAAACATTCAAAAAATTTTATTTCTAAGACAGTAAAGATAAAGAAGCTTGCAAAGTTAGTATTTTCACTTGAAAACAACTGTACTTCAAGATGCAGTCAATGCACACATTACCTCTGTTAGTTTTTCCTTGAGTAGATTTTGCTGCTTGAGTTCGTTTTACATTCCTCACAGGAGTCATATATTCTTCCATATATGGAATTATACACACACACACAAACAAACAAAAAAAAGACAGTCCTATTAGCAGCTATTGAATGTTATAATGAATCACCATTCCAAAAGTGTGAATATTACAAAGTAAAAGCTCGTGGCAAGACAGGTAGTAAGAAATGTACTCAAATAAATTGAAAGGTAGAATAAACACATGATTAGCTTTTATCAAAAGGATTATTAAGAAAAAGGTTTTTGTTCATTTTTGAAATTCAATCAACCAAAATAAATATCTCAGTAAAAATAAAAATATAATTTTATAGATATTCAGGTCTATATGTATTTACCATTTTCATTCTGAAGAACATTTGTAGTTGTGTTGACATCCTGTGTTACCACACCTTGGTCAATGTCTTTACTTCCATTTCCTAACTGATTCTTAATCTTCTCCAAGGCTCTCAGACATGTCCTATCTGTTACTTGCTGGGAATGGGGGATGAGGGAAATGGAAAATAAGTAATCTTTCAAAGTTTATATACCAATATCAAGTTCGAAAACATTCTTAAATTACATGAAATTCATGAAAAATTATTTCAAATGAACATGCAGAATATATACGTATTACTTAATACATCCATCTAAATTCCACCTTGAGATACATATAAACACAAACTACTCAAGATTATTAAAAACTGCTTTACCTCCAGAATCTCATCCAGCAGAAGCAAGAGATCTTTTGTAACATTGCTACTGAGTTCTACTGAACTCAAAGCTTTTGTATAAACCCGATTTTCTGGTAAGCATGGACTTGTTAAAATCTCATTGCAAATTTTTATAGCCAAGTTGTCATGTACTGTTAAGGCCTAAAAAAATTAAATAGAAAAAAGGCTCTATAAAATAAAAATGCTTTCATCACAATACATACAGTTCTATATATCAATATTTCTAGCAAAAGGCTCATTTGCATAGTGTCTAAACCTAAATTTAGATCTCCCTGCCTCCAAAAGAAGCTCCTCCTTTTATTACAAGGTCAAGGTCTACCCCCTTTAGGATTGAAGTATCATCCAGTTGTTGATATAATCCAGGCTGATGAAAAGTGGGCCTTTTCCAAACTCACAACACCTTCCCTAAAGGTCAGTCCACACCAAGTGACCAGTCAACTGATGCCAAGGTACCACAGAGCAGCTTAGTTCAAGTTTCAGCAATTCAGAGAACATCTCAGTTCTGGAAGTCCTTCTACAACCCACTGGAACTCTTACTTACATGTCAATTCAGTCCAGCCTATGACCCCACCTACTTTGTTCACATTCCCAAGATGTCTGTCAAGTCACTGTTACTTACCGTAGACTGGAGACTTTCCCAAGATGTCTATCAAGTTGACCGTTACTTACCTAAGACTGGAGACTTTTCTCACATTTCACCAGCTTGTTTGCCTCTCAAACTTTCCCCAAATCCTCTCACCACTTCATCTCATAAAACCACAAATGAACATTAAATGAGTCTTCTTGGGAACTAAATCTTATCCTATTAACCCTTTAATACTAAGTCTTACATATACACTGCAAATAGGGCCAACTCTAGCCTTTGTATAATCATCTACACTATCTTTATACATTTTTCCTTTCTACTCAAACCACTTCTCAAATCCCAAGTGAATTTTAAAACTCTAATGAGTTTTAAAACTAGTAACACAGCCAAATCTGATGGCACATACCTATAATCCTATCTAATTGGGAGGCAGAGGTAGTAGAACTGCAAATTGAAGGCCTGCCTGATCATCATGTCTAAAAACAAGTAAAAAGGGCTGGGGATATAGTTCAGCAGTAAAACAGTTGTCTAGCACCTGTAAGACCATAGGCTTAACACCCTATAAGGCAAATAAAATTAATGATATATTTATCATTCCTATAATGAATCTTATACTTTTCTGAAATGCAAAAGTACTTGATGGCTAATCACTGTTCTTTAATATATTTTGCTTAATATCCTTTGTAATATAATCTTCCCAATAACATATGTGACTCAAGCAGAGCAGGCATTAAATAGCAAATAAATATACAAACAGAACAAAACTGTCAACTTGCAGTTGGCATCTGAAATCATTAACACATCAAATTTCTGTGTTCAAAGAAATGTCATTAAAGAATTGTAAAACCAGCCGGGCAGTGGTGGCGCACACCTTTAATCCCAGCACTTGGGAGGCAGAGGCAGGCGGATTTCTGAGTTCAAGAATTCGAGGCTAGCCTGGTCTACAGAGTGAGTTCCAGGACAGCCAGGGCTACACAGAGAAACCCTGTCTCGAAAAACCAAAACCAAAAAAAAAAAAAAAGGATTGTAAAACCCAGTTTAATTATAATCTATAGATGATTTTGTAGTTCTCTTATATGCTTCACTTAAAAGAAAACAGAAACCTTGAGATAAAGGCTTTTAACTTGTCCTCTCCGCAGCATTAGCAGCATAACAAGCCAGCCAGCATTTGCAAATGTAGCAACAGCACTTTACTTCAGTGACTACCTTGCTAAGTGGGGAAGAACGGTGATAGGAATGATGGCTTTAGTAGCTTCTAGACTGCAAAACATTTGCAGTGATCACTTCTATTTTCATTATTTCTCTACATTTACCAAGAGACACCCTTCCCTGCCTCCCATAACTGTTTTATATACCAGAAAAATAAAAGACTCAAAATATAAATGTAGTTCATCATGATTTAAAAAAACCCAGGAGAAGGATTCTTTAATCAAACAACAATGATCTTCATGCAGTTATATTTTCTACCCACAGGCTACCATACATACCTGATAATCTTGAGAATTCTTTGCCTGAGGATTTAATCCACTTGGTCTTGTCAGATCAACAAGCAATTCAACAACATTTGTGACATCTACTTCAGCTAAAGGAGATGACCCTGGGGCGTTGGCCAGTGTTTGCACAGTTGGAATAAAGGCTTCTTCAAAGCACTCTTGATTAGTCCTATTGAAAAACAATCTGAACCTTCAGTACAAGGCCAAGGATATCTGCCCAGCTGAAGACTTCAGATCCCACTAATCTCTTTGCGGTTTCTAACTTAAAAGTGCTGAATGAAATGATTTGACAAAAAACAAAAACAAAAAAACAAACAAACAAAAAACCCTCCAATTACAAGCAAGTTGACAAAATATTATCTGAGAGAAAAGTTTTAATTCTGAAATATGCACAAAATGACTCTATTGTAAAGATATAGTTCCTTTTATGCCTTATATATGCAGGAAAGATAAAAAATCTGGGTATATAAAATATATGTTACATTCTTATCATTCATCAACTGAAAAGTGTATCCAGAACAAAATGGCATAGATATAATTCAGGTGGGGAGAACTGAATCTCACTTTAAATAAGATGTTATCAGTGACTCACTACCTGCTTGCATAAGCGAACATGGGGAAAAACACTCCTAGGCAATGTCGAAGTTGAACATCCTCTTCAGTCACAGGATTATACCATAACAAAATAAGACGAGAAAGAATCCTGCTGCTGACCAAAAGCCCAGAGAACATCAGCTTGGCTAGTCCTTCTGCAGCTCCTGTCCTGAGTTCAGATACCTAGCAAAAATAACATTCATTAGAAAGTTTTTATCTCTAGTTTCCTTTTAAGCTTATATGTGATATTTTAAAAATAACTGTCCTAAAATTGTCATTAATTTTATTATGCATATGATAAAAGTAGGATCTCTGCAGGTCTGAAGCTAGACTTGACTACACAGTAAGTTCTAAATTAACCTGAGCTATAGAGTGTCACTGTCTCAAAACTCAGAAATAAAATAAAATACTCATAGGATTACAATGAATAGTGCTCAGGGAAGTTCTCCAGTAATAAATATCTCCCTTTTTAAAAAATCTCAAATCGATAACCTAAATTACACCTTAATGACAGGAAAAGAGCAATTAATCTGACTGTAAGGTAAACAAAATTTAAAATTGAGGTAAACAATAGACAATTTTAGGACAGTTATTTTTAAAATATCACATATAAGCTAAAAAGGAAACTAGAGATAAAAACTTTCTAATGAATGTTATTTTTGCTAGGTATAGTAAAAGAAAAGCAGCTATCACAAGAAAACTAGAATGACTGTCACTTAGAAAAGTAACTGAAATTTTTTTCTATCAAAATAGTAGAAAACCAAATTCATCAACACAGTGAAAGGACTATGCATCATGAGCACATAGAATTTAACCCAGAAATCCACTGATGGTACGTATGAAAATCAAGTAATGTTTGATATCATATACCAACATATCAAAGAGAAGAAAATCCCTCATGACCATATTGACTGAAGCAGAAAGAACATTTGACAAAATTAAACATCTTTTTATTAAGATATAAACACAAAATAGCCAGGGTTATAAGAATAGAAAGTAATTCCCTCAAAATGATAAACATTATTTATGAAAAACTCTGTAACTAACACCACATTTATTAACAAGATTCCCAACTTTTCCCCTAAAGTCACAAATATAACATCTGCTTCAGACACTTAATGGCTGGTGTTCAGCACTGTACTAGATGATGCAGAACAATTAAATAAGAAGTAAAAGACATGGAATTAATACTGTACCTATTCAGAAATGACATGGTTCTACAGCGAAAAAAATCCCAAGAATTTCCTTTTCAAAATTACTTGTTAATAAGCCAATTCAGCAAAGTTATAAAGTTAAACACATACAAATCTCAGCTGAGTTTCTATACTACAGCAGTGAACAATCCAAAAAGAAAATTAGAAAAAACCAAAAAGATGTAATGCTTGTTTTAAATAATAAAAAATATTTTTAAAAAAGAAAAACTATGTTCATTTGCAATACAATCTGTTCTAATTTCATTTTTGTTACTGTAATAAAAACATTGTGACAAAAACAGTTTCAGTTCTTTGAACACTAATTTGATACAGAAAATTATAGATGTGAAATTTAAATTTTAAATTAGGATATTTTTAAAACCAAATAAAATTGTGTCAAAAGTAAATGAGTACAAAATTAAAGCAAAGAACATAAACACATGCTGCAAATGCTTCACAACTGTAGAGCTGGCCGGTTTCTTACCTCGCTGTCTAAGAAGTCAGAGAGGAGCTTCAGAACACTCTTAGCTGTGTCAGTCTCTTCGGCATCATTTTCTTCTTGTTCCTCATGACTGTTGATTTCTGCACCTTCACAATGAATGGCCTTAACTTTCTGAGTTTTAAATGGCTCAATCCCAAACATCATCAGTTGGTCAAAGATAGCCTTTAAAGCACTTATTTTTATTGTGACATCATCAATTTGCAAAACCTATAATTAGACATAACCCCCCCCCAAATAATTTCAGTAAAACAACTTAATTCTATAACCTAAATAAAATTAGTATATTTTCTTGGTTAAATCTCAATGAGTGTTAAGTATGAACATGTTTCAGAACTGTAATTTAAGTTTTAATTTTAGAAGTATGTTTATCTCATAACATCTGGAGCTTTAGTCCTTAATTAATTTTTGCACTGGAAAAAAGTTTTAGAGTCAATGTCCAGACGGACTGTATTATTTGGTCCTTTTATAACAAAACAGAAAAAAAAAAAAAACCAATTCCAACTATGATAAAGTTTTATCATTTTTCTAAGATCCAGATAAACTGCATTGTTATATATAAATTGATTTGCCTGCCTATCAAAAACAATTAATACAGTACATTCTAATCAATTTAAACCTTTGGTACAATGTCAGTACTATTACATTTCTTTGAAGAAAAACTTTTCTCATCACTTAACAATTCAGATTTTATTAATAGTGAATTCAGTTAGCAAGTAGACTCTTTATAGTTTTGGGAGCTAGAGAAATGACCTCCTCAATAAAGTACCTGTCAAACATAAGCATAAGGACCTCATCTCACACAGCCAGCAACTACATAGGAGGCTAGGTGCACAGAAGTGCACAATGATAACCCTAGCACTGGGGCACAGAGACAGGTGGATCCCTGGAATTCATTACCCAACCAACCTAGCCAAATCAAGGTGGCCCTGGTTCAGTGAGAGATCCTTGCCAGAGTTAGAAGAGAGACTGGGGAAGATATCCAACATAGATCTCTGTATATGCACACAAATGATTTAAGTCTATCTTGAGTTAAAAACTACACAGCAAATTCCAAAACCATGGAGGCAGAGTGACCCTATTATGAAAGATTAACTATATTATACAATGTAACTTGGCCTTTAAAATAAACAAAAATCACTTCTATGTTGGTCAAATTATTGTAATTAGAAAAATGATTTATTTTTAAAACTTTGAAGACTATGTCAAGAACATTTCCACTCCATGTTTTGAGAATGACCCCTGTAAACCTGCCAAAACCAAATTCTCTTAACATGTTGTTATGATGGCTCTGGAAACTCCAAATATGCTGCTAGCTCAGCATCAACTGTTTCTTTCATACTCCCATTGACCTTTGCATGCAACAATAGCTGCCAATATTCAATCCTAATAAGATTTTAGAACTTTCTAACAGACCTTTTATACATTATATCAATTTTTATTACTAACAAACAATTTTCCTTAAAATTATCTTCCCAAAATAGACTAATCTTAAAAAAAAAGAAAGAAAAAAAAAAAGAAAAAACCAATGAAGCCTTGAGAATACTTATTTAAAAAACTTTTATAGAGCTGGGCATGAAGGCACACATCTTTAACACCAGCACTCTAGGGACAGAGGCAGGTATATCTCTGAGTTCAAGGCCAGCCTAGTCTATAAAGCAAGGTAAAGGACAGCCAAGGCTACAAAGGCTACATGGAGAAACCTTGTCTCAAAAAATCAAAAATAATCAAATTTTAAAAACTTTTATAAAGATTGTAAGATTCAATCTATTTAGTAGTTATCTTCTTTTGATCATGGACCCTGTTGTATAACCTTTTTAAAGTGCTAAACAATAAATAAAAAGATTTTTAATATTAAAAAAATCACACCTCAGAATAGTATACAAAATATAGGCAAACTTCAGGTTTTCTGCCCTTGAATCTGCTATCATTCAAATACTTTTAACTTTAAAAAAAAAAAAAAAAAAAGGCCAGACCCAACAATTGTCTCCACTGAGGTTATTTTCACGTCCCAAGCTAACAATATTTATATGTAGGTATATAAATGGGGTAGGGCTATGAACAAGAAAGAAAAAGGAAGGTTTGGAAAAACAGTAGGACACATGAAATTAAAGCAGGAGGAGGGTATAAGAGGTAGAGGGTATGTGGTGAGAGAGTTGGGGACAAACGAGAAAAACAAACACAACAGTTTCTTCTCTGAATCATTCATAATGGAATCTGTATTGTTACAGTGTAAGTTCTTGGAGCACATGGGCATCCCACACAGTCCTTCTGGTAGACTTCACTTTGCTTACTTTCCTAGCCATATGTCCTTTTGTTCCTCAAATAGGCCAAAAAAAGTCCTACCCCTAAAACTTCTCTCCTCTATTCTCTTTCCTAAGAAAATAAAATGTCTGAGCCGAAGAAATGACTCAGCAGTTAAGAGAAGTTATGCTCTGCAAAGGACACAAGTTCAGTTCACATGAGCATCTGGGTCAGGCAGCTGACCTGTAACCCCAGCAGGGGTGATGCAATGCTCTCTATGGGCCTCCATGAGTACCTACACAAACATAGTATATATATACACACAACATACCTAAGAAAATAAAATCTCTGAAAAAAAAAAAAAGGAAAGAAAGAGAAAAGAAAGACAGTATTCTTTCAAGTATTTATAAAGATTACTCTTTTAACTTTCCTATGAGTCTGAATGTCACAGTAAGACTCAGGCCAGCATCACCAGCACAGCTACTCGGTCTCCTCCCACTCCCAGGACTGCTGCTGCTATGCTGGCTATCCTTAATTGGCATGACACATACATACTGTCTATTTCCCCTTCAGGAAAACAAGCTCCAACAGCACAAACTCAGGCTGGTTCTCCTCATCATTTACCCACTATATTTATCCTAAGACAAGAACAGTGATAGCACATAGTATGCACTCATATAAGCTACATGACTCATCTTAAATTGTTAGTTCATTTTTTCTATGAAGACATTTTTATAAGACCCTAAAGATTATCCACAATCATCAATTAAGCAACTGAACACACCCAGAATTTTAACATATCACTAGAGATACAGAGCATTTCAAGAAATAAACACATGGTCATAAAATATATCCTACCTGTAAGAATAACATAAAGTGTTTACTGGCAAAATCCTGACTCTGTAGTCCACAGCATCCCAAACATAAAACAGCCAAGTTTCTTACTATAGGATGAACACTTATTATTCCAGGAAGAATCTACAACAAGGTAAAAATTAAAATAATTTTAACCAAGGCAAGAAATTTATAATGCCATATTAAAATCATGGTCAAAATGATTTCCACATGATTTTGTAAGGGTATTTCCACACTGACTATTAACAAAGTTTCACTAGTTTTAAAAAAAAAATGAAAATGAAAGGGGTAACTATAAAGTTGATAAAATAGAACATAGCCAGAACTATTTTCCTTCATATCAATATGTACACTCCCTTATCTGCTAAAACTGATTCAAGGATTCTCAATACTAACAGAATGAGACAAAACTCCCTAATAGAATTACATACATACAGTCTCATTGCAGACCATGCTTCACTTTGTTTTAAGCACTGTTCAACTGTTCTAATTTTGATGCCTAGTTTATCTTATATACTCAAAATATTGCTATAGACTGTAAATAATAAAAATTAGTAGTGGGATAAATTTATGTTCTCTCATCTTTAAAAATGCTATGTTTAGAGATTGGAGAATATAAATTCTAAAACTGCATGTATCAATGTAAGTTTTAACAGTTACACTGTTTTAGTAACTGTTTTAGTTGTAAATCTTCTACTCACATAGTATCTTTTAAATCTCATAGAAGGATCATTTTCCATGAATAGGTCAAGCCTGCAATTATTAAGCTCACTCATAACCGTATAAATCTTCATAACCAGTGTCAAAGTAGCCTAAATAACTACTTTTTATATTTTAATTACATCACTTTTCCCACTTCCCTTTGCTCCCTTCAACCTCTTTCATGTCCCCTCCCTCCCATCGTATGACCCTCTTAGCCCCACTGAAGGCCTCCTTTTTTGTTATAGTACACACATGTAAGTGCAGTATATATATACATATATACATATATATAATATACATATTATATATATATATATATGTGTGTGTGTGTGTGTGTATATATATATATATAAAATCTATTTTTTAACAATGTTGCCCTCACTTAAGCAGAAGATCCAGGATGGCTATCTATACTTTTGTATTTTATGTACACTATATTTCAAGCATTTCTTAGATAATATGCATTCAAAACATGCTATGAATAGCTTATGTTTTATTTAAAAGTGCCTTTATGAAAATGTATTATTTCAATTATTCCTCATACTATGAAGTAGTCACTATGGATATACATAGTTCACTGTATTTATCTGATTTTTACAGTGGTAGTCTTTTAATTATTAATTTTTAAATTATTAACTAATAATGAACATTATTATATAATATAGTAGAGGAGTATGAGGTCTCAAAGGCCAGCAGTGTACCAAAGATTCAATGATCCCATTCATGGTTGCACCGATTCCAGTTGAAATGGACATCTGTTTCAACAATTCATAACACAAAATAAGACACTTCTGTAACGTTTCTGCATCGTTCTAAAAGAAAGTACAAAATATCCATCATTAGTAAGAATATCTTTTGCCCATCCCTTAAACAATTGCTCTCTTGAGACTTTTTCTGTGGAATAAAGTTACTCTTTGTTCCTTTGGCAACCTTAACCAATCATGCAACTCTATTTTTCATTTATGAGCTGGCCCAGTTTTATGTAACAGTTTCCTCCTAGATTGAAACATTCCATTCTAAAAGGAAGCTTTAAATCAGGATTGTTAAACAACTCAAAATAAATTCAGGAAGTCTCTGAAACTGACCAGATTCACTAGGCCCCTCCCCTGTGAGAGTAAGTAGTAAGAGCTGAAAATTTTTTCAGACAAGGCACCTGCAAAGACCACTGTAACAACAGCTCCCAGTAAGAAGCAGAAACCATGTATTCAGCATGATCTTGTTCACAATGCTATCAACTCAAGCCATACTTCTGAAACTCTGCCAAGAAGTATGGCGCCGTTTATGACTCTAATCTATTTTTAAACAATACTAACCCTGTATTACAGAGTACTCATTCTATTCTTTAAAATATCCTTGTATCCACCATCATCTCTGAATATGGTAGATTCTTTAATATTGACTATCCAAGACCTTACATTTATCTGACCCATAACAGTTCCTCTTATTTGCCTAATACCTCTCCAATTCTCTTTCCATGTAAACCGGAAGGTTTAATGCACAGCAAGCATCTTATTTTAAACTCTGTACCATCATACCTACCATTGCAACATCTACATTTCCTTAACTACTCATTAAGGGGAAACAACACAAAGTGCATTAAAAGTATAAATTTATAGTAACTATTGTTTAGGTTTGAAACCAGTGGGACTTGGGGACTATAACAATAATGAATTCACATTTGTGAAGTGCTTGAAGAGATAATCACCTAACTAGACTACCACAGGGGAAAAACATCCTGTAACTTATTAGGTTGCTCTATGTGTTACATAGTACTAGGTGTACTATGCTTAACCTTGACTGCCATCTCGACTAGGCTGAAAAGCAGCTAGTAAATATTAATAGAGCATGTCACTGGATGTGTGTGAGGGTATCTCCAAAGACAATTAAAAGGGAAGATCCACCCTGAATACAAGTGGCATCATCCCACAGGTTAGAGGCCTAAAAATACAAGGCAGTAAAGGAAAATGCACACACACACCACCAACAGCAACAAAAAACAGCTCAGGCATCCTGCTCCCTGTCAGGATGGGAGCCAAACTGTTCTGCAATACCCTCTTAACTCTCCCTCACTGAAACCTCTAAAACTATATGAATTAAAATAAACCCTCCTTCCCTCCTGTGATGGTTTGTTTATGCTTGGCCCAGAGAGTGGCACTATTAGAAGATGTGACCCTGTTGGAATGGGTGTGTCACTGTGGGTGTGGGCTTTAAGACCCTCATCATAACAGCCTGGATGTCAGTATTCTGCTACCAGCCTTCAGATGAAGATGTAGCAGCTCTGCCTCTACCATGCCTGCCTGGATGGTGCTATGCTCCCACCTTGATGATAATGGACTGAACCACTGAACCTGTAAGCCAGCCTCAATTAAATGTTGTCTTTATAAGACTTGCCTTCGTCATGGTGTCTGTTCACAGCAGTAAAATCCTAACTAAGACATCTCCCAACTGTTTTCTTAGCTAGAATCTCACAACACTGAAAAGTCTAACACATTAATTTTATTCACATCTCTAGTTAATCTATTTCTTCCTATAGGAAAATCAGTAGTATTCTACATGAGGTTATGAATTACATACCTCGCAAACACATTTCTATAGTTTCCTGATCACATCATCTATTATATTAGAATTATACTTGAGTTGTAGCTCTCAGAAAAGACAAAAGACACTAAATGTTCAAAGGAACTCAAAAGAGATTAATAGATTAACCAGGCAGACCAGATTTACAAATGCTTTCTCTTTTGTGGGACAGAGCTGGGAATCAAACCTAGGGCCTTACCTGTGCTAGGTAAGCAGTCTCATTACAGAGCTTCCTTTCCTTTTCTTGGATTTGTAAAGGAGGGCCTTACCTGTATAGCCCAAGCTGTCCTTGACCCAGATTTTCTCCCTCTCACTCAGAGTACTATTTACAGGTAGACAGCACCACATTTGGGCAAATATTTCTTAATTTGAAAATCTTTAATTTTATTCTTAGGTTTTTGTTTAAATTTGTTTCTCAAATTTAAAGCCTAGGACAAGCCACAGACTGTAAAATGTAATATAAATAAACTACAAAAATAAAAAGAAACTGATCATCTTCACAAAATAAAAATTAATATGAAAATCTGTCACAATATCTCAAGACTCAGGGTAAAAAACTCGTTTCCCCAAGAAGGAAGGAAACTATTCAAATCCCAGGGATTCATAAGACAAAGAAACAAGTCCTAGCTATAAAGACTAAAGTTAGTTTTCAAAGTCCAAAAATGTCTGGCCTGGTGTGGTGGTATATCCCTTTAATCCCAGCACAAGGAAGACAGAGGCATAGACAAGTGGATAGCTATTAGTTCAAGACCAGCTTGATTTACATAATGAGTTCCAAACCAGCAAGGGCTAAATAGTGAGACTGTCTCAAACACCAGAAATCTAAAAACATAAAACAGAAGCTTTAAAAATAAGGTTTATTTTTTCATTTTTATTCATGGTATTGTCACAACTCCCTCCAAAGTAAATAAATTCTGGCAGTTTAATGAATTAACAAAACTAAGGTTTGTTGAGATAAGAGTAGTTAAAATTTAGTATGAAAACTGACATATACCTTTTCTGTGTGGACTTCTTTAATTTCAAGTTGCTCTGTCTCTTTTAACAGGTTTATTCTGGCATCTTCCAATGTTTTTATTTCTTCTTTTAATTTTGATGCCTGATCAAAATCTTGTACAGCAATGCAATTTTCCAAAGCTTCTTTAGCCTCAATAAGCTTGACTTTGATTTCAGCCATCTAAAATAGAAAGAAACTGACCATCTTCACAAAATAAAAATTAATATGAAAATGTCACAATATCTGAAGATTCAGGATTTAAGCAATCAAACATTAAGATTCCATTTTCCTGAAACAGATCACAAAATCTGTTATAATCTGGTAAGATTTTGAATGTCCTTATAGTGTAATACCTATTGACTTGGCTTTATGAAAATACTTCAAAACAGTATAGCAAGAGGAAACAATGGCATTCCTAAAGCAGTTCTTTAATTCAGAAGAGACTTACCTTGAGTTCGTTCTTTCTTGTAGCAGATGGATCAACATGAACAGTAACAATGGGTGCACGAATCTCTGAGATAATTTCTGTGACCTGAGAAAGTTATAATTCAAAGTACAAGCTGTAATCTATGTTTTACCAATGCTACAAATGTAGCAAATGTGAACTGCTACATCGAATTCTAAACAATACATACAGCTATACATATAACAATACAGGTTAATCTATAACCTACATTGCTAACCTGGCAGGATTTGGAATTGGTCAGGAAACACACCTTTGGACATACCAGCAAGGGTGTTTTCGTAGAGGTTTAACTAAGGTTAACTGAGGTTTAACCATCCCACAAGTTGCAGTACTATGCTGAGTAAAAAGGCAAAAGGAAAAAAAACAGCCTGAGCACTAGACTCATCTCTCTGCTTCCTGTGAACAAAATGTGAATGAGCAATTGCCTTATGTTCCTGTCTATCATAGCTAGAACTTTTCTCAGTATCATGTCTTTGCCACCACAATAGGCTGTACCTTCATGCCAAAACAAACCCTCCTTCTCTCTTTTCTTTTCTTTTTTCTTTTCTTTTCTTTCCTTTCCTTTCTCCTTTCCTTTCCTTCTTTCCTTTCCCCACTTCCTCCCTAAGTTGCTTCTTGTCAGTTATATTAGTTTCTCATTGCTGTGGCAAAAACAACTTAAAGAATCGTTCATTTTGGCTCACAGTTTGGAATTAGCAGTCCACCATAGAAAAGATGGACCGGCCAAAAGAGCAAGAAACACCCAGTCATAGTGCATTATAGTCAAAAAGAAAGAGAGAAAGAAAAAGAAAAAGAAAAAGAAAAAGAAGAAGAAGAAGAAGAAAAAGAAAGAAAGAAAGGAAGGAAGGAAGGAAGGAAGGAAGGAAGGAAGGAAGAAAGAAAGAAAGAAAGAAAGGGGGAGGGGAGGAGAGGGAAAGTTGATACTCAGTTTAACTTCTCCTTTATAAGCTCAGAACCACAGCTCATAAAGTGGGCCACTCACACCTCACCCAATCTAGAATCTCTCACAGACATGCTCAGAGGTTTGTCCTCTAGTTTATTCTAGACCTTGTCAAGCTGACAATAGTAATTATTACAAGAGGTATTTATGGTCATAATAAGACAGCAACTACTACAAAGACTGAACAATAAAACTGAATCATCTAGTCAGATGTATTATTTGATTAAAAAGTAACAATTTTTAAATTGCATAGATACTAAAGACAAATTATCCCTAGTGCAGTAAAAATAAAATATTGTACCCTAAGATTACTCTCTATATCTAAAATTTTCTGCCTAAAATTCTTACTACTTCCTCAGTTCTGTAGAGAAAAAAAGCATACCAAATATATAAGTAATAATAAGCAATGATAATAATGACCTTCCTTGCAGAGCTACTTGTTCACTAGTTCAAAATGACTGCTCCCCATCTGAGAATAACTAAGCTAAGCCCTTCTTCCTTCCTCTCACACCTGCTTGCTGACTCAACAAAGTAACAGACATGTTAAGAAAGGAAGACATTTTAAATTGTGTGTAGAAAGATCTACTCTTTTTCATTTTTGCAACATGTTGGACAATAAACACTAATACACTAAAGACAAGAGTGCTGATGAGAAATTAATACTCCTTAATGTCACTAACCAAATTTATCTTCAGCAGAAAGAAAAGCACTTACAATCTGTATCCTTTTATTATCATCTGTGATGATGTGGAGGAGTCTCTCAACAATAAAAGAAACTAAGGATATTGGGGTTGTAGGCAGAATAAGAATCTCCTGCAAAATAGCCAGCAGTCGTTTCCTGTAATCAAAATGATCTATTTTAATTTAACTAGTAATATGAAAAAAAAATATATATATATATATGTATATATATATATATATTTCTTTAAACATTTTTCTTTATTTTGTGTGTGTGTATGTGAGTGGGCACATTCACACCTGGGCCTGAATGTGGAGATCAGAGAAGAAATTGAAACAGTTGGTTTTCTCCTTCTACCCTGTGGGTCATAAGGATCGAATGAAAGCCACTGGGTTGGCAGCAAGCACCTTTACCCAATGAACCATCCTGCCACCTGAAAATACATTTTTTCCTAACATTTCCCTTTACACTACCTTAGTTTTTACTTCTGTTTGTAAATATAAATACAAATTCTATACATACAGACTTTTAGATTTAAAAAAACCTCATATTCTACAAATTTATTTACAAGTATATGTAAAAATTATAAATATTTCTATACCCTGATCTTTTAAAAAGAAAATTTTAAACCAAAAAATCTGAAATTATTTATTCTGAAGTAATTATACTAGAATTATATACATATATACCCATACATACATGCATACATATTCCATCATGTGCCACATGATGTTTCAGTAAACATTAGACCAGGAATCTGATGAAGGCCCTAGAAAATCATAATAGAGCTAGAAAATATGTAATGATACAGTAGCCCTAGTAATGCTGTACCTCAGTGCATTTCTCTGGTGATGCTGGTATAAACAAACACACATGGGCATATGTATACAAGTGTAGTACAATCATATACAATTACATATAGTTTTAGAGAGCTAGGATAGTTACATCTAATCATAACAAAACTGTATTGAAATATAAGAAATTAGCCACATGGGGAGGAGTAATAAAACCACCCTCTAGGCAAAATTTAACTGTTACACTCATGAACTCACAGCAAGTATGGTTAACTGCATTAAGAGCTGCCAGTCAACATTCCAGTCTGGATGGCATAGGGACTCCTGAGGCCTAATATCAAAGCTTAGAAAGTATTGGCTGTTAATAGCTTCTAGAGGAGAAAGAATCCTTTTTCTTTTGAGGTGCAGCTAGGAGTAGGCTGCCCATAGTCTGATGCAAAGCCACATACCCAGGCACATTCAGACAACTGTAATTGGGCTCAGGTAATTTTTAAAAAGGGCAGGGGGAGCTTAAGAAGGAACATGTTGAGTATCAAAGGAGTGAGAACAGTCTTGAGGTAGATATGATCAAGTTATATTGTATATATGTATAAAATTATCAAATGATTGTTTAAAAAACCTGATTAATCAAAGCATATAATATCACCTTCATTGTTGGTAGTTACACTAAAATTAAAGTCAGAGTCATTATCTTTTAAAAATTAAACCAAGGTAGGTTCCTAAATATATGAAACTAAAGGAAATTAGATCAAATGTTAACATTTAGACATACCTTCCTCCTTCTTCACTAGTATCCAAAGATTTTATAATTAGAATCAACTGTTGACCTATGAATTCTCTTGTCATCAAATTTCCAATGTAGGCAAAATCACTTTTCTGTTCTTCATTAACTACTGGGAAGCCCTGGATGTAACTAAAGCAAACAGAATTAGTAAAATAGATGCCAATCAATGGAAGAGCACTTACATAGCACACATAAGGCACTACAAAATAGTACAATACCATATACCAACACATGATTTTACATAAAAGTTCAAAAATTTTAAAAACCAGAACAGTACATATACAATATGCTATATTTTCAAAAAAGAAACCTACATGTTCATTTAAAAAATGTATAGAAAGAAAATTGACAATGGATATCCTTAATTATTTGGCCGTTTAACTCTACAATGATTGATGGTACTAGGGAAACAAAGAATAAATTTACCTCTACATTTGGATTCTGACAAGAATATGTATTTTTTTTTATAAAATTTTACAGTGAAGTAAGTAGAAATTATATTGTCTTAGTTGGGCTTCTATTGTGATAAAACACCATGACCAAAAGAAACTTGGGAATGGAATGGTTTACTTCCTGTTTCATATCACAGTCCATCACTGAAGAAAGTGATGCCAGGAACTCAAGGAGAGCAGGAACCTGGAGGCAGGAGCTGATGCAGAGGCTATGGAAGAGTGCGGCTTACTTGCTTGTTCCCCATGGCTTGCTCAGCCTGCTTTCCTATTGAACCAAGCACCACCAGATCAAGGAGAGCATCACCCACAGTGAACTCAGCTCACCCAAATCAAACATCTATCAAGAAAATGGGCTTGTCCACAGACCAGTCTTCGGGGGCATTTCTCCAGCTAAGGTTCTCTCTTCCAAAATGACTTCAGTTGAGATTAAATTGTCATAAAACTGGTCAGCAGGTATATCAAAACATAATTTAGAAAAATAAAAGTTTTAAAGTTATATAAGTTTTACTTCATTTTTAGTATGTTATTAATTGAAAAATACTTAATTATAATAAAACTGACCATACATCTACACCCTGTTGATTCTGAAACTACTTGTGATAGTTTGCCCATGCTTGGCTCAGGGAGTGATGGTGCTATTAGAAGGTATGGCCCTGTTGGAGTAGGGGTGTCACTGTGGGCGTGAGCTTTAAGACCCTCATTATAGCTGCCTGGAAGTCAGTATTCTGCTAGCAGCCTTCAGATGAAGATGTAGAACTCTCAGCTCCTCCAGCACCATGCCTGCCTGGATGCTGCCATGCTCCTGCCCTGATGATAATAGACTGAACCTTATGACCTATAATTCAGCCACAATTAAATCTTTTCCTTATAAGAGTTCCCTTGATCATGGTGTCTCTTCACAGCACTAAAACCCTAACTAAAACACTAGTCCATGCACCAAATCTAATCATCATGATATCTGTTTTATATAGCTTGCAAATAAAGAATAATTTTTTTAAAACTTTGTTATATATGAATATTAGATAAAATTCAAGAAAAAGTCAGTGAAATTTTATCAGGGAAAAGTTACACTAATCAGCTGCTAATCTTGAGTCACTGTAACTGGGATAGTGAGGTCCTGACTATACACTTTCAATATACTAACCACACAACAGATTTTTCAAAACATTTAATAAACATACTCATTCACACCTACTTATACAAAAAAATAGTTCCTAAATTATTTCCTCTAATGACTTTGAATAAGAAAACTATGAAATTGGTAAATAAAGTAACATAAGTACAGTTCAAACCAAAAGCAAAACTTTACCTCAGTAAGTACTCTGCATATACTACAGGCTCTGGCAAAATCTGCTCTAAAAACTCTTCACCTTCATCTCCCTTTGATTTCAAATATTCACAAAGGGTGCACCAGTACAAAGCAATTTCAGGAGTTAATGTTTCCACTGGAATCAACTTCCTTCATACAGAAGAGAACAAGAGAAAGCATTATCTTTACATGCAGTTGAAAAACAGAACAAGAATGGACATAAAACAAAGATTTCTTTCAATTACTAAGTCTTCTAGTTACTAAGTCATTCGTTTACCCACCTGAAAAGAATGAAAAGGAAAAAAAAAAAAAAACTTAGCCTAAAAAAAGGAAGAAGAGAAAGCTTCAAATGAGTTAACATGGCAAGAATGTATATTTGGGGTGTTTTTCAGTGGATGTAGTGCAAAACTCAAAGTTGCAAAATGAAAGGACATAACTAATGTAATGCCTGACGAAAGTTCTGAATCCTTGTACCAGAAGGAAGAAAGACACTCGTTAAAGAGAAGAGGGACAGATAAAAAGTACTGAGGGAACCTGAAAATACAGGGAAGACAAACTCAGTTTAAGTGCACAGGTTCAATTTAAATACTCTGTACAATTTAAATAATGAAGTCTTTATATATACCTGCCATCATCATCTTTACAAACTCCGACCAGCTCACTGAGAGGAGTCACTGAGAATAAGGAATGGAGAACGGAGACTGCTACATCAGAAGAATTTTCCACATCTAACCGATGAAGCAACTCTAGGATATTTCCTTCAGTGAAACGCAACCAGCCTTGGAGAAGATGCTTCTGCACTGCTTGTTTCACAGCATCTGGCGAGTCATTTAAAAGGTTACACAATGTACATTCTAAACCTTTTCTCCCTGTTTATCCTCATCTTAACTTTTATTAAATCATTGTTAACACTGAATTTACAATTCAAATAAAAATTATAGGCAGAACAAAGCATGCTAATGAAAAAAATGCAGTATTACTAAAGTGATGACAATGCTTATTTCAAAATGCAAATGGAATTCAGCAATTAAAAGACAAACTCCTACATTGTCGAAGGAAACATGTCTTTCTATTGTCTCTTCACTGAACATCAGGCATCAGGGTATGTGAAATCTATCGTTTCACTTGTTGATTGACTCCAACTATTACATGAATTCTATTTACAGTACTGAATCACAATATACTTTACCAAACAAGCTTTATTTTTATCATTTAAGAAGTGATTCTCAACCCTCCTACTACTGTGGCCCTTTACTACAATTCCTCATGCTGTGGCAATCTCCAACCACTCAATTATTTTCATTGCTACTTCTTAGCTGTAATTTTGCTACTGTTATGAATCATAATGCAAATATCTGTGTTTTCTGATGATCTAAGGCGACTCCTATGTAAGGACTGTTCGACACCCAAAGGAGTCATAACTCACAGGCTGAGAGCTGCTGATGTAAGGGCACCCTAGTCAGTCCTCTGACAATACTCATAAATTCAAGTGTCCTTTCTTGGTACAGCAAAACTGGGACTAAATGGCTTCATAAGAGTTAAGAAGTTTTAGAACATCCTTCAGAAAAGCAGATTCCCTAGTTTAACAGATGAGAGGGTAGGGCATTATACTAGTCTGTTTATTCCTAATTCTGATGCACAGAATACATTGTTGTTACATTATAGAAAAACAGGACAGTGCTGTTTAAGAACATGGGGTAAAAAAAGAGTCTATCAGACGTTTGCAGAAGTAACTGCGTAAGATTTAGAAGTCTTCCCCTTCCTAAAGCACAAAAGTCTGAAAGAAATGCCTGGCTCCTTTAAAACACCAAGATCTTTAACCCCTAAATCCTTCAACTTATTTATGGAAATGATAGTTTTATTAAATTCAAGTCTCATTTCAAAATCCAATGTTTACAAAAATGTGTATCTTACCTGATCTGTCATTAAGACCTTGTTGAAGAAGCAGTACTCTCTGAGCAATGGACATAGCTCTCAAATGAACTTTTTCAGCTAACACCTTAAAAAGGAAAAAGATGGCCATTAATCTCAATACACTTTAGAGATGTCTACTAATGAATACTGCATTCTTCTGTAAATTAACCCAATTTTTAAATTGTCTGTTAATATGCTTAATATAAGAAGTTACCTATATTATTCAAAAGTCCTAACTGGGAAAAAAAATCATTGTTAGCAAGTTTTTTCCAAAATACCATAAAATGGTTCAACTTTCAAAAACATGACTACAGAAGATACTGAACTTATTTACCTGATAAGCCAGCTTTCTGACAGTGTCCTTTATATCCTTTGTACGTCCGACAATTTTTGGCAAAGTCTTTGCTGATGGTGCAATACAAGATAAAACTGCACGTCTAACTTCTGGATTTGAATCATTTTCAATCAAAGTAACATATGCTAAAAAATAAAACAATAGATTTTAACATTAATAATGTTAAGAATGTTAAGTCATAGAAGCTCTATATTCTTTCATTTTTAAATAAGAGATTATTTTTATACATTCACTTCTAGCAAAAAACTAGCATTTCCTTTGAAAATAAAATTAAAAATTATTAAATATGCTGTGATTGAAAATTAATCCCAAAAGTCAGATGATGATTATAATAGGTAATTTATTTTAAGTTGATATAGTTTTATATAAGGACCAATTATTTTGATTTATTTTAAATTCTATTATGAAATGTTACCAAAATAAAAAAAAAACCCATATTCAGAAATTAACCAGACCCAAAGACTATACAATTCAATCAACTTCTATACAGTTAGAATAATTATTCAGAAAGGAAACTATGAAAGTTCACATTTAACTTTACACTTTTAATTTTGAGAATGTATAGGTTCATATGTTTAATATATTTCTACCATTTTTTGAGTATACTCCTCTTATATTTAAAAAAATAAAAATAAAAAAGACTATGCCAGATTATACTGGCAATATTCTCATACCTGTTTAGTGGCTCTTTAGACTGCACCAGAAGCCACACTAAGTGATTAAACTGTACCATCCATTTGTCCAAGTATACACTTTTTAACATTACAAAAATCACCTAGTAATAACACTTCTCAAAATGTAATACAATCCTTAAAAAATTCAGGATGATCAGATGCTAAATTTATGAAGCTGGGTAACAATAACAATTACTAAATAGAGCATCAAACTTTAAAATGTGCTGAAACTAAAGAGGATATGGATCAATACATACCTTTATGTCCCATTGCTGACAATATTAAAAGTAAAAAACTTTTTTAGAATACTTAACCACCTACCCTAATAAAGTAGAAACCATATAAGTCTATCTCTTAGCTAACTTTACAAACTCATTCATCTATGCACCAAAGGCATGAAGAGAAAATTTCTAACACTGGGTTTTTTGTTTTGTTTCTTTGAATTTTTGAGATAGTTTCTCTGTGTAACCACGGCTGTTCTGGAACTCACTTCATAGACTAGTCTGGTCTTAAATCCAGGAGATTTGCCTGCCTCAGCCTTCAGAATGCTGGGATTAAAGGCATGGCATTACCATGCCCTGCCTCTAACACTGTTTTTAAATCAAAGTAATTGCAAACAATTAGAAGGGCCATCACCATTCAGAATAAACTACATAAAACAAAACATTAAAATATAGAAAAAAATAAATATATATCATCCTAAATGAATGCTAAAATTAGGAATAAATTTGAGGGGAAAAAGACACAAAAATATAATTTGACTCACAAAAAATGGTAGAAAAAATTTAACATTGAGACAAACATGTTATTGTTTAAAATGTAATTTTTTTATGTAAACATGGCAATTAATTCAAAATTCACTGTAATTATTTCTACCTCTGAAAGAAAGAAATACAACTGAAGTGAAGAACAAGGCAGAGGTAAAAGTGCTGATAATATTCTTTCATTTTAAGTTGCTGGATTAATACTTCCACACCACACAGACATATAATTAGTAAAAATTCAATCCTAGGTTAGGAAAATGGATCTAGTGGTAGAGTACTTGCTGCACAAGCATGAGACCTGATGTTCCAATGCCCAGTATCTCATGAAAGCCAGCCACAGCAGCAGCACATACGATCTTAGTACTGGGGATAAGGAACAGGGGATTCCTGGGGCTTACTGGCCAGCTAGTCTGAGTAGATGAGCTCTAGATTTAATGACAGATGCTGTCTCAAAAAATAAGGTACAGAGCAATTGAGGACATCTGATTATAACCTCTGGCTTCCACATGAAAGTACACACCTACACACTCATGTATATACACACATAAAAACCAAAAACTGAAAAATTAACAAAGTCAACATACCCAAACAAGATTTAGGAAACCATACATACCATCAACTACTGGGCAGTCATCATCCTTGGGATCTTGCAGTCGAGAAAGAGCCAAAACCGCTTGTATTCTTACATTTGAAATCTTATCTTTCAATCTAATAAGCATGGCTTCATTAATTTTATCAAATAAGTCATCATCAATTTGGGCATTTTCTGGCATACTCCCAAGAAGTTTATTAATGAGCTGGCATACTCTAAATCTGACTGCACTGCTGTTTGCTTCATGAGACTACACAAAAAACAAATCAAAAGTTACACCTAGTCACATTCCATTCTTAAACAGCCAGTATCATTTCAAAATTAAAAGTTGACAATACACCCAGGTAGATAGTGTAGGCCTACAACACCACAGAAAAGAACCACAAGTTCAAGGTCTGTTTGGGCTACAAAGTAAGTTCAAGGACAATATGGGTAACTTAAAGAAATCCTGTCTCAAAACAGAGTAAAAAGAGAGGTAGATCAGGGCTGGAGAGATGGCTCAGCAGTTAAGAGCACCGACTGCTCCTCCAGAGGTCCTGAGTTCAATTCCCAGCAACAACATGGTGGCTTATAACCATATATAATGGGACTTGATGCCCTCTTCTGGTGGGTCTGAAGACAGCAACAGTGCACTCACAAACATAAATAAATAAAACACTTAAAGGATAAGTATATCAGTGTATCAGCATGTGTAAAGTTACGTTTAATCCCTAGCACTACAGAAAAAAAAATAAGACAATAGTAACTCTTTACTTGCAGAGAAGTTATATTGTATATCCACAACTAGATAGATTTTACACTCTCAAGTAGTCTGAAACAATATTTGCTGTCACTAAATAAGCATATCCCTATAGATTCTGTAGGATTTTTTTTTTACTTAATCACAAGAACATTTACAACATAAGTGAGAATTAAACAGTTAGGAACTTAATGCTGCAGTTATCCTTTTAATGACAGTTAAGTTTTCCATAAAAGACTTATTCACATACATTTTCCCTATCACTGATATTTCACTGTGGAAAATAACAAACGTAGCCAAATATATTACTTCCCCAAAGTATTCAATTTCACAGTACCTTTAAGAGAAAAGTAAACAAATAATTTAAAATGCCACCATCTTTCTCTTCCTCTTCCTCTTCCTGATCAGACTGGTGAAATGAAGTAACAAACTTGGCTGTGAAGTCCATGACTCTCTCCACCGCAGGTTCACGTTTATAAACCACCATAGCATATTTAAGGTAATGAATAAACTCCTCCTGAAAAGCCATTTTATCGTCCATCTGAAAGACAGAAGAAACGCCTGAATAACCTGCATTAATAAAAATTCTTTATTCCCAACACTGCCATAAAACTGCTGAAAGCGTTACCCTTAGGTCAAACTATAATATTTCTTAAAAAATATATATATCAATTATTCAAACCAAAAAAGGGGAAATAACTCTGCACAAACTTCTCTTCAGCATATAATCTGTACCTCTGAGAAAGCACAAAGCATAAATTTGAACAGTGTAAAAATTGTCTCATTTTTCTCTCAACACCTTTAGATTATCGATATCTTTCTTACCAGATTAATGCAAAACATGCTTCGGCATGAATAACTAGAAATCAACAGCTTTGTATTTACTTTATTTAGGCCTTCTTAACATCCGTCAATTTCCTCTGGGCATAACTTTCACATCCTGCTCCATATTCACTTTTATATGTACTTAACCTTCCTTGAACTCCAAAACAATTTCTCTTCCTCACATTCGCTGTCCTATAATTCCCGCGGCTCCACTTGATACACAATTAACATGAACGGGGAAGACTAGGTCCTTATGATTTCGCTAGTTGGTGAAATGAATTTGATTTTCAGCTTAGGAGTTGGTTGAAACAACTTGATCAGTTTCCGGGGGTGAACTAGACACCCCAAACGAAAGAAAAGCATCCAAGATTCACTGCGCAGACTAAGTCACTACGGAACTAAGGATAACGGATCTCTCCACGGACCAACCTCCCCAGGGAGGGATGGAGAAACTGGAGACTCCGTGTTGACCACGCCAGGAGTTCCGATCACTGGCTGGGGCCAGGAGACCTCGGGCAAGCCTCAGAGCACCTGACCCTCAGGTCACTCGGACGCGGGGTGAAGGGCAGAAGGCTGAGCCCGGGAGCCGGGGCCAGGCCGCTTACCGCGCCGTACGTGCGGCTCAGCGCCACCACCAGCTTTGCCTGGTTCTGGTGCGGCTGCTGCGCCAGCTGAAAAGCCTCCTTGACAGAAAGCCGCTTCTGCGCTGCCATGGCGCCGGGACGGGAACTGCCGGAGAGTGGCTGTGGCTAGCAATCCGCAAAGGACTCAGTTGCCCTCCGCTTCCGGCAGACTGGCCTGCGAGAGTCAAGTGAGTTGTTACCGCCAGAGTTTTCAAACAACTCTCGCAGGAGAACGAGATCTCGTGAGACTTACGCCGGAGGTGGAGTCCTAAAGTATAGACCAGACTAACCGCCCCCATCTGACTCCACCCTCCGCCCCGCCCTGCTGCTGGGACGCATGCGCCTGAGGTGTGGCCTGCCGTTCTCCCAATAGGAAGAGGTGTTTATGTGAAAGCGTGGGCACAACCGGAAGTGTTGCTGTCAAGGAGCGTACCTGGAGTGGGCGTTCAACTTTCTGAATTAAACTGGTGGCGCTAGATTGGTTGCAGATCCTGCGGTTGGGAGTGAAGTGAGAAAGCGGAGAACTGCCGGGTTGAGAACAACAAGCCCGCCCCAGCTGCCTGACAGGTATATCTCGAGCGAAGAAGACGTTTGGGAGATGAAGCGCGAGGCCAGTTCGGGGATTGGGGATGTCACAGTTTTCGAGAGGACGTCCTGGACCAGGGCCTGTGCAGTCCTTCGGACGCAGTGAGGTCCCGGCGGGAACTGCCTGCCCACGATGAGACAAGACAGGCTGGGGGACCTGGGAAGAGAAAGGCAGGGTCAATTTAGGGTGAAGGAGCTTGGAGATTGTCAAGCTTTACAGGTCTGCTTTACAAATCTGCCTAACAACTCTTCTGAATGGAGGAGAACGCAGACATTATAAAAGGGATATACGGTCTTGATTAAGATCACGTACTGGATATATAAAATTGTCTCAAAATGAATGCCTCAGCTGGGGCATAGGACACACCACTCCAATAACGTGAAACTTACTTGGCGTGTTGCCTGATAACTTGGAAAACATAAATGCAGCCACCTATTCCGTCTATACTGGAAATCTACGTTGGTGAAGTGTCTCTGGAAGAAGACTGCTTCCAGACTAAATTCTCAACTGTGGACTTCATCTGTTTGTTCGGACTTTTATTTCCATACACGTTGTATCTGTGTTAGGGACTCCATGCCTCGGTCACCAGATCTCTCTTATTTCATATTCTCCAGCAGTCCTTTGTCAGTGTTTTGGTGTTGTTTGTTTTGTTTCCTTGCAGTTTTATCTCGATTTATTCACAATTCAAAGAACTTAGACTCAGGATAAAGGGAAAGGTTTTTTTTTTCCCTGCACTTCAGCATCCACTGGGAGCAGAATAGAACATTTCAAAGCCGATTGGATGCCTTTTTCTACTTTTGAGTTACTACCTTCCCCTGTCACATTTAAAATGTACTCTTTAATTTTCATCACCCAGATTTGTACATATATCCACATGAGTAAATTCCTGAATGAGTATTGAACTGGTTTTTTTTTTTTTCATATTTAACTATCCACTTTATAAATACCCATAAATGTAACTGGCTTTTTTTTTTTTTTAGTCCCTACTGGCTTTGGACTTTATCCATATATGTTAATACTAACAAATTTTACTGACTTCTTGCAAGTGCCAGACACCATTCAAAGTTCTTTACTTCATTTAACCCTTTATTTCTATCTCCTTTCAGAATGAGTAAAGTGAGACACAGACAGGGTGCAATGGCATTCCATCCTAGGAATGTGCCATAATTATTCTGCTTCATTCCTAGTTCCTATTTTTAGATATACAACTAAATGCTGGGAAAAGTGATGACTATGATGGTGATAAGGGCCTGTAATTTGAAATCAACATTTCTAATTTGAGAAAGTTCAGATTAATCACGGAACAAAAACAAGCTGAGTGTGCATTCTGAGAGACATGGAGATAGAAAGAGCACCTAAAAAAAAACCTAGTATTTTTAAGCAAATACACAAAATTCCTAGCTATATAATTGTTATACATTATTAAGGTAACTTACATCCTTTTTTGTTATCTTGCTAAGACTGGATCTCTAGGTTGTTTTTTTGCACTAGTGTCATTTCAGATGCTTATTAGGTCCATGTGGCTGGTGAGCATACAGAATTATTTTGTTCTGTAGGTACTCTGGGAATCCCTAGAGGACAATGAGACTAGGGGACATGATGATTCATGGGTAAAGTGCTTGCTGGACAAGCATGAGAATATGAAGTCACATGCCTGATACATCACGTACAAATATCAGGTTTGCACCTGTCTGTAGCCTTAGCACTTGAGATGCAGACAGGGAATCTTGAGTTCATTGGTCTGCCAAAATAGCAAGCTTCAGGATTACCGAGAGCCTGTCTCAAACACTAATGTCTAAAATAATCAGTGAAACACTCACTGTCAGTCTCTGACCTAGACTTGCATGTACCACACATACAAGATAAATAGAACTTTAAATAAATGATAATAAAATGAGAACCAGTGTGTCATTCCTTTATAATGTAAGCAGACAAACTAAAACTTAAAACATAATTAATTTTTTGTGACAATCTGTGTCCTTTCATTGTCTCTAAGTTTTAGGTGCTTGCTACCTTTATTGTTTTGTTGATTTAAAAGAAAATGTTTCATGATATATCCTTATAGTATTTTATCTGGCTATTTCACCATCAATGAAATATAAGGAATCTGACCACCAGAGGTCAGTATAACTATGTTTTTATAGATTAGAGTTGTGGCTTTTAGTAATGAGTGCTGTATGGGTTTGCTATACTTTGAACATCATAATCTTGGAACTTTTCCAGAATGCTATATGACATTCAGACAGCATAGTCTCATTGTAAAGCTTACATAGTTCTTGACTCTTAACTTTTATTCTGTGAGAAAGAACAAATACAGGAATAAATGTGTGTCTTCGATAAACTTTAGCTTAGAAAATAACAAAAACTAAACGATATATATACCATAAGGTTATTGAATTCTAAATCTTAGATCAGTAATTCTTGAAAAAAAATTATACATGAAAATGTTTAGAATAGATGTGGTTAATTTGTTTTGATATGGAAATATATACATGAAATAGAAAAATAGCAATAGAAACATTTGCATATGTAGAGTTTGTATATCTTATAATACAACTTTGTTGATTTTTTGTTTTGTTTTGTTTTGTTTTTGTTTTTCGAGACAGGGTCTCTCTTTGTAGTCCTGGCTGTCCTGGAACTTACTCTGTAGACCAGGCTGGCCTCGAACTCAGAAATCTGCCTACCTCTGCCTCCCAAGTGCTGGGATTAAAGGCATGCACCACCACCACCCTGCCCTCTTGTTGATTTTTTAAAGGGGTTGAGTTGGCCTTTTGAAAAGTACTTTGAACGATCTAACAGATGCAGTCTGTTTGAAATGAAAACAACAAAAATATAAAAGGACAGGACAATTAAAAGCTAGCCTCTCCAGATGCTCACAGCTAACCATTGAACTGATCATGGGGTTCCCAATAGAGGAGTCAGAGTGAAGACTGTAGGAGCTGAAAGGGTTTGCGGCCCCATGAGGAGAGCAACAATACCAACCAAACAGTGCTCCCAGAGTCTAAACCACCAGCCTGGGAGCACATAGGGAGGGATCCATGGCTCCAGCTCTATGTGTAGGGGAGGATGGCCCTGTCAGGCGTAGGTGGGAGAAGAGATCCTTAGTCTCAGGAAGGCTGGACGCCCCAGTGAGTGGGAATTTGAGGGTGGGGAGGTGGGAATGGGGGAGTGGGTAGGGGCACATGTGCAGAGAAGCAGGAGGAGGGGTGATAGGATAGGGTTCCTGGGAGGGGGGGAATGGGGTAAGGGGATAACATATGAAATGTAAATAAAACATCCAATTTAAAAAAAAAAGCTAGGCAGTGGTGGCGCACACCTTTAATCCCAGCACTTGGGAGGCAGAGGCAGGCGGATTTCTGAGTTGGAGGCCAGCCTGGTCTACAGAGTGAGTTCCAGGACAGCCAGGGCTACACGGAGAAACCCTGTCTCGAAAAACCAAAAAAAAAAAAAAAAAAAAAAAACCTAGCCTCTCCTGTCTCAGAAAAACACAGACTTGACAGACTATAGCAAAGTATTATTTTCTAAATGAAGCAGATTATATAACCTAGGGTTGAGAGCACTTTATGTTCGTTGCTTAAAGGTAAAGTTGGAAGCATTTTGCCTTCTTTTGTTGTAGAAGCAAATACTCCCTTTATTCCTCTGTTCATAGAAAGTTGGTATCTTCATAATATTCATTTATTCTATCTGAGAGCATGGAATATGTAACCTTTTGTGTCTTTTTTTTTTTACAGCTTTAAAAATAATAATTATTGATGCACGTCAGGCTGGATGTCAGCTGAGATAAGGCGATTCTGTCAAAGCTTTAGTCAGCTACAGACAGTGCTCTTCATCAGCCAGGCCCTGGCTTGCAGGCGGAAAGGCTGAGGTGCAGCATGACCTTCTGTGTCTTTTAAGATCTTGTTACTCATTGCCTTCTGTGACCTTTATAGACTTGGGTGTTTGGTTTTCTTCCTGTGAAATTGTTATCTTTATTTAAATCACTGACTAAGGTTTTTAGTAATATGTCAGACTGTCAATCATCAAGATTTTAGTCAGCCTTATTTGCTGGGGTTCCACCCAGACAGTCAGGTACCTTGGGAAGGCAGTGAGGGTAACATCGGCAGGGGCCAAAGTCTGATGACTTCTGGCAGCCTTACCATCTTTTGCTATTCAGGGACTGAACACTGATGGCTTCCGGCAATTAACTCTTGCTGATAGCAGCAGAGGAATGAAGAAAAGTCAGTTACTTGGGCTCTTTACTCTTGGACTCAGACCACTTGCTGACCAGGCAATAGGCTTGGAGTTCCTCAACTCCTCTTGAGCCAGAGAGAAAAGGAAAGGAAAAGAAAGTCAGGCGCTCACACTTAGATGAGTGCATACTGGATGAAGGAGGAAAGGGCTACACTACCACTTTATTGTTGTTCTTAGTTTTTCTACCTTCTCAGGATAATCGATGACATAGTTTTTTAAAACATTTTTACATTCCATAAGTTCATAGTAAGTTTAAGGCAATAGTTCATGTCAT